AAAGAAAGAAAGAAAGAAAGAAAGAAAGAAAGAAAGAAAGAAAGAAAGAAAGAAAGAAAGAAAGAAAGAAAGAAAGAAAGAAAGAAAGAAAGAAAGGAAGAAAGGAAGAAAGAAAGGAAGAAAGAACTAAAAAGGGAAGGAAGGAAGGAAGGAAGAACAGGTTGAGGAAGTGGTGTTTAGGGGCAGATCACATGACTAGCATGCATATGGCCAAGGTTCAAACCTCAATATATAAACACTAACTTCTTAGTGTCTAATCAGATCTTCTATAATGTAAACTAGGTTTCTCTTATTTCTATACCATTTGAAGGTAACTGTCACTTACAAAGACTATTCCCATGCTGAATAGCAAAGATGCAGGAAGTACTTGTAATTGACAGGTACATACCCATCCATATAATCATTTGCTCTCTGTTCTGCAGCCACTGCTTTGTCATCAGGTTTTCCCACTCTTTCCAAGAAGCATAATGCTGGGTCTGCTCGAATAGTGTTATATTTTTCATAACCTGAAAGGATCACCAATTACAGGAGCAAAAGGATAAAAGAAGAAAGGTGTGTAAATTAAGCATTCCTTATATGTATGATATTCTTGGTCTAAAGGAACCACATATTTAAATTTTATAGGTTAGCTGTGTTTTTTTAGAAATTATCAGAAACATTACCTGACCTGGTAATATTTATAAAACCTTAGATAAAATGTGTCTGATAGGAAGAAAGAATAAGTAAGTCATATACACATGAATATATTTCATATATATATGAATTTCCTAAGAAGAAATTATATGAGACTTATACCACAGGAGAGAAGCAGGCAACACAGAACACCCTCTCATCAGGAAATGTAATGAATAACAGACTCTGATATTTTATACTTTTAATACTATGTATATAACAAGGTATTACTGCAATAAGACTTTAAGTATAAGTAAATGAACAGAGGAGAAACTGAATTACACTCCACATAAACAGGGATCCAGTCTAACTTACTTCTTACTTACCGTGTTTAAATACTCCGATAAGGAGTGACTTGTCAGCATCAAAGTCCCACCAATCAGCAGGAACTTCTGAATGATCTGGTTCTGGTACCCAAACATCAATGTCACTTTAAAAAACATCATAATATATGACATTATGAATTAGAAGCAGGTATTTTTTAATAAAGAAATTAGGATTTTAATTCATTGATTTTTCCCATTTCCCAGAGATACTATCAATTAAAATTGTGAAATAATGAAACAGTAAAACAACAAAAAACCCATAAGTACTACTGTTAGCTCAATAGAGGAAATGAGTTCAACAATTTTAATATAATTAAGTTCCAACAATTTTAATATATAAGAAATCATATATCTCCTGCAAATAATTTATAGGCAAAGGGTTTTATTGTAAAGTTATGTCAGCAAACATGACAAAACTATGTGGTTGAAATATTTTGTTTTCTAGATTAGAAGACTGAGACTCTAAAAAGGTAAATAAATTGCTTTATATCCCAAAACAAGTTATATTTCTACTAGATTACTTTTGCTAATAACACTGAAAGGTTTTAATTTATAATTTGATTAAACCATGAAGTGCTACTTGTAATTTATGTACCAAATAACATGTTACAAATGATAAGAGTATTAAAAACTGTAATAATAATAAATCCATCATGTTTTGGCAATTTGATTGCTTTCATGAGTAAGAGATGGAGTCTCTTAGGCTATTCTGAATGGAATGGAGATCCTCCACTTGTAGCCTCTTGAGTAGCTAGCATTACAGGTGTCAGCCACTGATTCCCAGCTCATTTTACTTACTTTTACTTTTTTTTTTTTTTGGTTGGTTGTGGAGCTTGAACTCTGGGCCTGGTGCCATCCCTCAGCTCTTCAGCTCAAGGCTAGCGCTCTACCACTTGAGACACAATGCCATTTCCAGCTTTTTCAGCTTATGTGGTGCTGAGGAATCGAACCCAGGGCCTCATGCATGCAAGGCAAGCACTCTACCACTGAGCCACCTTCCCAGCCCCATTACTTTTACTTTTAATTCATTTATATGAACATCTTAATTGTATAAATGGATCACTGTTTTTCTACATATGCATATAATATAGTTTATGTTTACTTCTTTGATCACATTCCTATCTTGCCTCATTTTCACATAGTTTCAATGTTTTATTGTCCTATTTTCACACATGTATGTAATGTACTTTGAACATATTCATGCTACATCCACTCTCTACTTTCATCTAGCTCCTTCTACAAATATTTAACCCCCTTGCCCCAACAATCCCTTTTGACATCCATGCCAATTTTTTAAAATGTCTACATGTACAATGTGATTTTGTCTGGCAATTTTATTAATACAATAATCCCCAACTCCATTTATTTTACTGTGAACAACACAATGTCTTGTTTATGACTGTAATAGTTGTATATATCTACCACATTTTCTTTATCAGTTCATCAGTTTACGTTATAGTTAGACTCAATGAGTAACTTGATTATTGTGAATAGTGCTGCTACAAACATGAGTGTAAGGTATTTCAAATACATGCTGATTTAACACTCTTTCAGATGTATGCCCATGAATGGAATAGCTGTATCTTGTGATAGTTCCATTTTCAGCTTTTTGGTTGTTTTTTTTAAGGTATCTCCATAGTGATTTTCATGGTGGCTGTACACTAACTTATGTTCCCACCAGCAGCATACAAGGGAGGCTCTGTGTCTCCTTGCACTCTCACATACTTGCCAGTATTTGTTGTTTTTGGTTTTCTTGATGGCAGCCATTCTGACTGAGGTGAGATGGACTCTCAATGTTATTTTATCTGCACTACCTTTATGGCTAAAGATTTTGAACTAAAAGGTTTATTTCATAACCACAATGATTTAAAACACTTTTACTTTAACCTAATACATAACTAACTAATATTTGACAATGACTAGTAAATGAATAGTATTAATTAATTGCAGGTGTAAATTACCACACTGACCTATAGCACTTTCTTTTTTCTTTTTTTGGTCAGGTGTGGGGCTGCATCAGGGTCTGGGCATTGTCCCTGAGCTTTTTCACTTAAGGCTATCACGCTATGATTTTGCACCACAGCTCCACTTTTGGTTTTCTGGGGTTAAATTGAAATAACAGTCTCATAGACTTTCTTCCCAGATTGGCTTCGAACTCTGACCCTCAGGCTCCTGAAAGCTAGGATTATAGGCATGAGCCAATAGTGCCTGGCACCTTCGCTACACTCTTCAAGGAATTTGTGAGACTTTAAGTGAATACTCAATTATACAAAACTTTATTTTGAAACAAAGTTGCAAATAAAATTTGTTTTAGCTTAGTATAGAAAAAGAAAAAAATGATTTTCCTGTAATGTGGCAAAAACTGGAAAACAGTGGTACTAAAGGAGATTGCTTTTCCTTATGTGTATTAACTGTATGACAGATAATGTGATAGTTCAATGTATGTAATAATATTTTGAGAATATTCAACCTCTCTAGATACATAGGTGGGGTATGTGTGTATAATTACTAACTTGAATTTCAGGCTTGCAAAGCATGGTAAAGGTACCATTTGAGCAATGTCCCTACTCTGGATATTGATGTTTGACAGAGTTCCCAACTGGTTCTAAACAAAATTTTAGGACTAGATGGTAATGGAAATAAGAAAAAATACTAGTATAGGAAATTAAAGTGGAAAAAATGGGTTGGTAGTTCCCCATGCCAACCATCAGGTGTCACTCTAACCCAGAACTGTGACTATCTGAGGTAGGCAGCTCCTGTTTATAAAGAATCAATCAGTATATATTCAACTGGGACAAAGGGATTCAAAAGGGAATAAGGAATTCAGTCTGTGAATAGAGTCTTGGAACACAGACTGTAGATTCAATATTAAGAGAAATTGGACATGAAGATGATAATGGCTAATGGTAAGAGAACACAATGACAAAGTTACAGAATTATAAGAAGTACACACGTTATGTTTGAAGAAGTGAATTCCTTCCTATTTAAGAAGCAGTGCTGTGGCTAGTGATGGCAAGATGAATGACTATAACAGACTATGGCTGCAATGAAAAGAAGGAATATGATGGTGGAAAAAGCCAAAAGATAAAGATGATGGGATCCTATGGGATCACCGTAATAGGACGGGACAAAAAGAATCAACATAAGAATTTAAGTTTTAGATTTCAAGGTAGAAAGCTGAAAGAATTTTTGTGTGCACAGGTGCACATGTCCCAGCCCTGGAATTTGAACTCTGGGGCCTCAGCGCTCTCCCTGAGCTTTTGAATTCAAGGCTACCACTCTACCACTTGAGCCACAGCTCTACTTCCAGCATTTTTTTGGAGTGAGTGGGGAGGGGAGGTGGATAGCTGGAGATAAGTATTTCATGGACTTTCCTTTCCATAATCCTCAGCTATCAGCCTCCTGAGTAGCTAGGATTACAGGTGTGAGCCACTGGTGCCCAGCAAGATAATTTCTTTTTGATAGTTTCATTAGATTTTCTCTGCAAAAAGAGAAGGAATATCACATTCTGAGAATAAAGTGTTGAGTACTACGTTAAGTCATGCACAAATAAGAGGTTTAGGGGCTGGGAAGGTGGCTCAGTGGTAGAGCACTTGCCTTGCATGCTCGAGGCCCTGGGTTCGATTCCTCAGCACCACATAAGCAAAAAGAAAAAAGCCAGAAGTGGTGCTGTGGCTCAAGTGGTAGAGCGCTAGCCTTGAGCTGAAGAGCTGAGGGACAGCACCCAGGCCCAGAGTTCAGGCCCCACGACCGGACTCCCCCCCAAAAAAATAAGAGGTTTAAAATGGATGTTACAGCTGGGCAATCATGACTCAGGCCTACCTAGGAGGCTGAGATTTGAGGACTGAAGTTCAAGGCCAGGCTAGGCCAGACCAGCCAGGAAAAACCATATCCAGAAGAGGAGCTCTGACTCAACTGCTAAACTACTAGCCTTGAATAAAAAAAAAAAAAGCTCAAAGACAGAGATCAAGCACCAGGACTGGTACAAAAACAACAACAACAAAAAATAACCTAGAAGCTACAGAGAAAAGAGGATAAATCTGATACAAACTACTTGCGTAAGAACATGACAGAAGATTAACCTGGAAACAGAAAGTTCCTCATGGCTTTGGCCTGGTACCCCTGGCATACAGCGGAGTGTAGTTCTGTTTGCCTATTTCCTATTCATTGTTACTATAAACTCCCTAAGTATAATTGTGTTTCTCTTTCAAACTCTACTGTTTCACAGAGCCCAGTGCTTAATCAGTACTGTAAACTGTTTCTGGACATGGAGATATAAATCAATAGTAGAATTCTTGCCCTGGGTTAGATTACTAGCACCACCACTCAAAAAAAAACAAAAAACAAAAAGATAAAGGTAATGGAGAATGGGAGGAAAGTGGTTCAGTTACTGCATTTGTGCCCGCTTTAATGATATTAAGGATATACATCCCTCAATTATATGGCACCATTGTAGTTATTATCATGACTTTCAGTGATAAAGCCAAAGACAAGTACAATAGAAGAAGGCAATTAACTGGCCAGGGTAAATTCTCTATAATTGGGAAATTTTCTTTCTTGTCAATTTCACTGAATTAAAGAGCTATTTACTAAAAATTTTTTTTTTCTGATCATATAGTTGTTGCCTTATCATGTTATTGGAAAATATAAACATGATTTACCTTGCATCAACTCCATCAAATACTTTCTGACACTCACTTCCAATAACTTCTTGCTTTAGATAATATAGCATCCTCACACGAAGCAAAACCCTGAAAGACAAGAATAAAGGAGCTGGGAATGTGGCTTATAGGAAGAGTGCTTGCCTCGCATGCATGAAGCCCTGAGTTCAATTCTTCAGTACCACATAAACAGAAAAGGCCAGAAGTGGCACTGTGGCTCAAGTGATAGACTGCTAAATATGAGCAAAAGAAGCCAGGGACAGTGCCTAGGCCCTGAGTTCAATCCCCAGGACTGGCAAAACAAGAATAAGTATATCATCCCTTAGAAAAAATAAACATGGGGTGAAAATTACGTAGAAATATCTGTACAGATGATTTTTCAGGGGAGGGCAGTAATGGAATATGAACTCAGGCTCTTAAACATGCAAGGTAGGTGCTGTATTATTTGAGCCATGACTCCCACATTTTTTTCTTTTAGTTATTTCTCCCAAAGGCTCTCACTTTTGCATGGACTGGCCTCAAACTTTGATCCTACCTATACCTCTTGCATGTCTAAGATGACAGGTATAACATTTTTACACAATCTTTTTCTCAATCTTCACCATCATCATTAGTTAATAACCAAGGATGATAAAATGAGCTGATATGGAGGCCAGTGTTTGTTGGTGAAAACGATAATAGGGAAGCAGGATTGCTGAGAAATATGCTATAAAAATAAGATTGGTATTAGTCTTATATCTCACATGAAGATTAATAAACTCAGAAAGGTGAATCTTAAAACAACTGTGTTAAAAATACTCTACTACCTACTTATTACAGTGGTGTTTAATATGTTTTTTGTAGCCTTCATCTTGAAGTAGTTGCTCAGGATTGTATTTTCGAAGCCAGTCTGCTTTTTGTATGTCAAATGAGCTTGTTTGAGTTTTTACTTTCTTCCCTTTCCGACCCCTGGGCACAGGAGCTGACAGGCCTGTTAAAATGAGAAGTGCATGTAAAAGAGGAGTATTTGTATAAAGAGCCGAAATTTGAAAGCTTTTTATAATCCAAGAAATCTATGGAGACTTCTTCGAGTATGTGCAAATTATAGAGATATCTTTAAAATAGTAATGGTAATGATAAATATTGCAAAAATTCTACAAATACCTAACAGTTCTGTGTCTCAAATAAGAGTAATCATTGTGATTTTGTTTGTAGTCTTATCAAACGTTTCCCCATTTTACTTTTGCTGTCCTTGTTGTTGTTATTATTATTATTTTTGTCAACCGTAGGGTTTGAACTCTGGGCACTGTCCCTCAGCTCTTCAGATCAAGGCTAGTGCTCTACCACTTGAGCCACAGCACCACTTCTGGTTTTCTGAGTGGTTTATTAGAGATAAGAGTCTCAAGGACTTTCCTGCCTGGGCTGGCTTTGAACAGCAACTTTAGATCTCAGTCTCCTGAGTAGCTAGGATTACAAGTATAAGCCACTGGCACTCAGCTTCCCCTTGTTATTGAAAGATACAGATCATGTCAACTAAAGTAATTTCATTTCTTTGACATTTAGCTGGGTGCCAGCTGCTCACATCAGTAATCCTAGCTACTTAAGAGGCTGAGATCTGAGGATTCTTGCTCAGAGCCAGCCTGGGGAAGAAAGACTATGAGACTCCTATCTTCAAGTAACCACCAAAAAGCCAAAAACAGAGCTGTAGATCAAGTATAGATCACTAGAATAGAAAGAAAAGCTCAAGGACAGCACTCAGCCTCTAAGTGCAAACCACAGGACAGGCGCGCGCGCACACACACACACACACACATACTAATTTTTTTTTTAAACTTTCCTGGCTATCCTAGTTATATATCCCATCTTTCTTCAGTTTTTCTGTGAAGGAAAAAGTTACATATCACTGAAGTCCCTGTATAAGTCTCTCAATGTAATTTACTCATTCCATCAGACAGATCTGCACTAAGAAATTTGGTTTTCATTCAATACATGACTTTCTACATTATTTTCAGATTTTTACATTACACATGTAATCCTATAATTTATTTATTGGTCTTAATACTTATTGGATTTGTTCATAGCTGACCTGAGGTTTTAGTTCATCCCATTTTCTTGGTGTTACTTTACCACATGGCTGTTATTTACTTATCTTCATGGTGTTTCAATTGTTTCATTAGTCATTCTTTTTTTATTTTTGTTTTTTTTTGGGTCTGGTCGTGGGGCCTGAACTCTGGGCCTGGGCACTTGAAGAGATGAAGAGCTCAAGGCTATACCACTTGAGCCACAGCGCCACTTCTGGCTTTTTTCTTTGTGCTTATGTGGTGCTGAGGAATTGAACCCAGGGCCTCATGCATGCAAGGCAAGCGCTCTACCACTGAGCCACCTTCCTAGCCCCTCATTAGTCATTCTTTACAATTACTAATGTTGTTTTGACTACCGCTTCCAATTTTTACTTTGTTTTCCTTACCATATTATAGCATGTGAAATTGATAAATAGAACCAATAAATGGATTATTTCTCCTAATAACTTTGGAAGGTTTATATTGTGTTATCTTTTCATAAATTTTGCTTTTATATTTTAAGACTGTTCAGTTAGACACATGTAAATCTATGTTATGCATTTTCATTTCAATTATTAGGTAATGTCCCTTTTATGCCAACTAATTCTTTCCATTCTAAAGCTGACTTTGTGGTACAATGTTAATATTACTAAAACATTGGTATTTGTAATATTAGATTTTATTGATGTGTAATTGTTACTGAATCTTCTTTAGTGTCTCCTACCATCTTGTTAAAGTATCAAACTATTGATTTTTCTCTTATAATTTTTATTTTTTGGCTCTCGTCCCAGGGCTTGAAGTTAGGGCTTGGCCACTGTCCGAGAGCATTTGTGATTGGTCCATAATTTTTTTTAACAGATAAAGCTATAATGTGCTTACATACACTTATTCTCATCAAAATTTCCCCCAATCATCCTCTCTGTATTTTTACAATGATATAAATTGTTCTGTATTTAACTTATCTCCACTCTTACTAACTTAGAAACTACATAATACACATTTTAAAATATACAAACTTAATTTTCCTAATAAAATTTCTATTTTATATTTCAAACAATTTTCTCAAATTCATCATTTAATCCTTTTATTTCTTAGTTCTGCTACAATTATCATGTGTAGGTTTGAGCTTTCTTTTTATAGACTCTTACTCTTTCAAAGTCACAGTATAATGACTTTACAGATATCAAAGCAAATTCAAAGTATTATTTTGCCCATGGTAACATTGTTTCATTGTAATATTGTTCATTTTATTTTACTTGTTCTGTCTTTTAATTATCTTTTTTTTTGGGGGGGGGGAAGGGGTTTGCTGGTCCAGGGAATTGAATAGAACCTGGGTGCTTTTATACTTAAGATTAGCATTCTACCACTTGAGTCACAGCTCTACGTCTAGTGTTTTGGTGATAAATTGGAGGTAAGAATCTCATAGGCTTTCCTGACTGGGCTGGCTTTGAACCTTTATTCTCAGATCTCTAAAACCTTCTGAATAGCTAGATTATAGGCATAAGCCACCAGCATCCAGCTTGAATTATCTTTAAGAAACTATTTAAAGGTCTTTCAATTATCAAGCTCATTTTAAGAGTTTATCTTTACCCTGTATTTCATGTTATTTTTCCCAGATGTCTTAAAATCTTTGGTCATGTTTTAAAATAATAACAAAGCTAAATGGGTAGCCTGTAAAAGACAGGGCCTGTGACTGTGGCATCACTCAAGAATAACTGGCTAGCATTTTTTTCCCTATTATTTTTAGGTTTTCAGTAGGTCAGACTTACCAGATAAGATTCCTTAGTTTTCTTCTTTTTAAATAAATTGACTACACATTTGTTTAACATCCTGTAGTAGGTCTACATCAAACACCAATCGTACAATTAAATCTTCTATTTTAGTCTTTCTCCAGAGAATACACTTTAGACATCTTTCCTGTGAAGAGCTGAAGAGGTATTTAGGGACGTAACCCCTTTTAAACAGCTTTTAATTGCAGACCCTAACTTTTCACTTATAGAGGCAAGACTTCTTGAGGCTTTTGAGAAATCTGTGAAGCAAATTAGTGTTGGTTTTTCTTTTTCTTTGCCTTTTCCATAGCTGAACCAAGATTCAGCACTCTCTCAGAACAAACCTGTTAGTTTTCAGCTTCTGTAATTCTGTTATTTTCATCCTCAGTCTTCTTGTTTTTGAGGATTTATTTTGAAATTATAGGATATAGAGCTGGGCACTGGTGATTCTCATGCCTGTAACCCTAGTTAGGATCGAGGCTGAAAGCCAGCCTGGGCAGGAAAGTGGAGACTCTTTTTATTTCCAATTAACCACCAAAAAGCAAGTGGAGCTATGGCTCAACTGGTAGAGTACCAGCCTTGAGCTAAGGATGGTGCCCAGGCTCTTAGTTCAAACACCAAGACAGGCACAAAAATAAAAAATAAAATAAGCATATATAAAAGTAGATGAAAAAGTATGAATATAACTCTCTGATACAAAATTATCAATCCCATATTCAAAATTATCTACCAACATCAAACTTTGTTTCATCTATACTTTTTTCTCAATTTCCTATTATGTTATGAAATAAATGGAAGACATTAGAAATTTCCTACTAGTTATTTTTAGTTTCTATTTTAGTTTTTACTATCTAAAAACCCTTTAAAATGCAATCAGTATTTAAATGCACAGTTTTCTAATGACAACAATGAAAATCTTCCCCCAGGCTGTTTGTTTCAATCAGGATCTAAGTAAAGCCTCAAAAGTGTAGTTGGGGGGCTGGGAAGGTGGCTCAGTGGTAGAGGGCTTGCCTTGCATGAATGAGGCCCTGGGTTCGATTCCTCAGCACCACACAAGCAGAAAAAGCCAGAAGTGGCGCTGTGGCTCAATTGGTAGAGTGCTAGCCTTGAGCTGAAGAGCTCAGGGACAACACCCAGGCCCCAAGTTCTGGCCCTATGACTGGAAAAAAAAAAAGTGTAGTTGGTGATGACTCTAAACTCTTCAATGTTACAGCAGGGTTACATTTTTGGTATTATTAAATGTTTTGGGCTGGACAGATCTTTATTATGAGAGACTATCTACACTGTTGCCTCTGCTCACCAGAAGCCAGTATCATGGTAAAAGTTGAGACACACTGTGCTGGTTGTAGGATTAAGGTATTAGATAATCTCCACTGGTTTATAGACATCCTATTCACACAATTTAATTTTTGAAGCCATATCCTTATTTTTTCTATGAGTTATCAAGCTTAATGTCTTCATTTTCTCTTCTATAAATGGAGATTTAACAGAGTGAAATCGTGTTTGTGCTAATTCTTTTTTCTTTACACAAAAGCCAGTTTGCTATGTTAATTTGTCTCCGATTAAGACACTATTGAGACACTACCACTGACCATTCATCTAAGATATATGCTTTCTGTTGTGCTTCATCTCAGTATATAGCATATACTTATTATCACTTCACAGCATTTGGTTTAATGTGTAATAATAATAATTATTATTATTTTGCTTATGTGGTGCTAAGGAATTGAACCCAGGGCCTCAAGTATGTAAGGCAAGCACTCTACCACTGAGCCACCTTCCTAGTCCGTGTGTGTGTGTGTAATTATTTTTTACATTCTGTCTACCTGTCTAGAATATAAAGTTTATGAACATGGGAAACTCTTCTGATTTGTTTTTTTCCCAGTGATTGTGCAAGACATACCTAACAGTTACTCTCTGAATTTCCTTTATTTAACAAAATGGCAACAAATTTAATGGCATAGCAATAGTTTGTATAGTAAATTAAAGTATACTACAATATAATTATAAAAATCTGTTAACAAAGCTATAGATAAAAATTGCAGGACAGAATTGAAAATGGTATAGTTACTTAGGACAGCAAACTGAGGATATTAGAAAAAGTTAAGATGTATACTGATGTTCCTCAAAGTCTAATATTTTATAATATTTGAGGAACATGTTAAAAGGCAAATTCTGACTCAGTAAGGATGAGGCCTTTCTAGGAATGTTCCAGGAGATAATACTGATTTACCAGCTACATTAAGGTACTAAAAATGTGCACTTACACTTCAATAATTCGATTTTTGGATGAACAGTGAGTTAATGGGGTTTGAATTCAGGGCCTCAAGATTGCTAGGCAGATGGTCTACTGCTGAGCCATGCTTTCAAGCATTTATTTAGAAATAGGGATGATTTCCTGTCCAGGCACATGCCTGAATCAAGATATTGTTTAAGGTTTCCACCTTGGTTGAATGACAAGTATGTATCACAACTATTCTGCCTAAAGCTGGTCTAAAACCTTGATGGTCTCAATTCCAGCCTCCCAAATATCTAGGAATATAGATGTGAAGCACTGGAGCTCATCTACCTTTTGAAACATACATTATGAAAGATTTATTCAATGGACAAGAAGGAATATGCAAAGTTCTTTACTCAATCATACAAAAAATGTGTGTGTGTGTGTGTGTGTGTGTGTGTGTGCATGCATACGTGCGTGCATGTGTGTGCTGGTTCTGGGGCTTGAACTCCAGGCCTAGGTCCCAGAGCATTTTTGCATAAGGCTAGCACTCTACCATGTGAGACACAGCTCTACTTCTTGCTTTCTGTGATTAGTTGAATATAAGGGTCTTATGGACTTGCCTGCCCTCAGAGCTTAGCCTCCTGAGTAGCTAGGATTTCAGGCATGAGCCACCAGCACCTGGCTTGAATCTTATTTTTAATTGTATAAAATTAGAAACTTAAACACATCATTAAAGAAGATGCTAACTGAATTGCGCTATGGAATAATAAGCACAAGCAAAAGAATGACATCAAGCTATTTTAACATATGCGAAAAGACCTTGAAGGTATACGATAAAAAGAACAATTTGAAAAAATGACACATAAAACCTAATGCACCAAACACAACAGTAGTGTGTGTGTGTGTGTGTGTTGTATGTATGTATGTGTATGTATATATATATATATATATTTTTTTTTTCTTTTTTTTCCCCCTTGACACGTCGGTCATGGGGCTTGAATTCAGGGCTTGGGCCATAAGCTCTTCAGTTGAAGGCTAGTGCTCTATGATTTTGTTCCACAGCACCATTTCTGGTTTGCTGGTGGTTAACTGGAGCTAAGAGCCTCATGGATTTCCTGAATAAGCTGGCTTTGAACCATGAGTCTCAGATCTCAGCCTCCTGAGTAGCTAGGATTATAGACATGAACCACCAGTGCCTAGCTTACACTAGTGTTTTATAGAGCTGAAATTTTGAGGATAGAGAGGACTATGTTTAACACCAGCTGAAGTGCTACAACAGTTTACAGAAGAGTAATGTAGCCTACATAATAAAAAAAGTTTATTAAAAGAAAACAAAAGCATGCTCTTACCTAGATGATTTTGTAGCTCACGTGTCTGTCCATCTTCAGTTGGTGTAATGAGATCCCAGATGAAACCTTTAATTTTTTCATCTCCTCGGTAATGAATGAGACAATATGCTAAAAGAGCGCGGCAAATTATTTCTACATCATGCTCATTTAGCTGCCTTTTAAAACGTCCATGAGAAAGAATCTCTCTCCATCGGCCCCATCTGTTTAAGGAAAGTATATTCACATTAATTTTAGGTATGTTTGGGACAAAAAAAAAAGTAACTCATGGGCAAAAAATATGAAAAACTAAAAAAAAATTCTATTTGCTAATATTTTCCCAAATATCTGTAAAGACTTTCGAGTATATTTTACTTTATGTACTTTGTACTAGAAAATACCAAAATTTGAGAAGCAAATAATTAATTTTAGTGATACACGATTTAAAAACTAAAAAGTTTGCCATTCTGTTATTAAATGTCTGTTAAACATAGAAATAATAGAATACTTTAAAGTAGATTTAGTAAAGGCTTTCAAATGGTAAAGCACTTGCCTACCTATGCAAAGTGTACAGTTCAAGGTTCCAGTAACAACAAAAAAAAGAACAAAAAAATTTCATTTTGGACTGGGAAGGTGGCTCAGTGGTAGAGCACTTGCCTTGTATGCATGAGGCCCTGGGTTCTATTCCTTAGCACTACATAGGCAAAAAGAAAAAGCTGGAAGTGATGCTGTGGCTCAAGTGGTAAAGCGCTAGCCTTGAGCTGACGAGCTGAGGGATGGCACCCAGGCTCAGAGTTCAGGCCCCAAGACTGGAGCCCCCCCCAAAAAAATTCATTTTATGAAATAGAAAAAACCCTAAAAGTCGTATGAAACAATAAAAACCCCAAATAGCAAAAACAATTCTTAGCAGAAAGAACCGTGCTGGAGGAATATCAATACCAAATTTCAAACTCTACTACAAAGCTGTAGTAATCAAAACAGTTTGGCACTGTCACAAGAACAGACCTAAAGATCAAATGGAATAGAACTGAAGACCTGGAATGAACCCACAGACCGTAGCCACCTAATTTTCAATAAGGGAAGAAAGACAGCCTCTTCAGTAAATGGTGCTAGCAAAATTGGTTAAACACCTGTAGAAAACTAAAGTTAGATTCTTATATATCACCCTGCACCAGAATCAACTCCAAATGGATCAAAGAACTCGGAGTCAAAGCAGACACCTTGAAAACATTACAGGAGGGAACAGACAAACTTTAGGGCTCCTTGACACAGGCCGAAATTTTCTTAATAAAGACCCAGAAACACAAAAAATCAAAGAAAGGTTGGATAAATGGGATTGCATGAAACTGCAGAGCTTCTGCATGGCAAAGGACATAGCTAGCAAGATCAATAGAAAGCCCATGGATTGGGGAGGAGGGGGGAGGCTTGGAAGGGATGTGAAGAGTAAACAAAGGAGGAGGCTGCAATGCTTGGTAAGAAATGTACGCATTATCCTGCCCATGTAATTGTAACTCCTCTGTACAGTATGTTCACAAATAAAATTAAATTAAAAAAAAAAGAAAGCCCATGGATTGGGAGAAGATCTTCACTAGCCATACAATGGATAAGGGTCTCATACCTAAAAATACTTAGAACTCAATAAATTAAAAGTCCATGGATTGGGAGAAGATCTTCACTAGCCATACAATGGATAAGGGTCTCATATCTAAAAATACTTAGAACTCAATAAATTAAATCCCTGAACAAAACATCCTCAAAGAAACAACTGCCCAATTAGTAAGTGGAATAAATACTTAAAAAGAAACTTCCCTGAAGAGGAAATAAGAATGGCCAATAGACACATGAAGAAGTGCTCAACTTCTCTATCCATAAAAGAAATGCAAATCAAGACAACATTGAGATTCCACCTCACCCCAGTTAGAATGGCTATAACCAATAACTCTAATAACAACAAATGCTGGAGGGGATGTGGCCAAAAGGGAACCCTACTGCATTGTTGGTGGGAGTGTAAACTTGGTCAACCACTTTGGAAAGTAGTATGGAGGTTCCTCAGAAGACTCCATCTAGAGCTCCCCTATGACCCAGCAATCCTACTTTTGGGCATTTACCTGAATGATCACAAACAAGGCTATACTAAAGCTACCAGTACAACTATGTTTATTGTAGCATTATTCACCATAGTTAAGATATGGAACCAACCCAGATGCCCCTCAGTAGATGAATGGATCAAGAAAATGTGAGATATATATATATATATGTATATACATACATATATGTGCATATATATATATATACATACATACATCTATATCTATATGAATTTTATGCCTCCATCAGAAAGGATGACACTACCATGTTAGGAAATGGAAAGACCTGGAAAAATTATATTAAGTGAAGTAAGCCAGGCCCAAAGAAACATAGGTTCCATGATTTCCCTTATTTGCAGTAACAACTATGTCTAGGACAAGCAGAAAAGGTCAAAAGCTATGTAAATATGACCCTGTAAGATGACGCTAAGCGAAATGAACCCCAAGATAGAGAAACAAGTGGTTTTATCTTTCTTGCTGTTGTTTATTATGTATTTATAATGTACCATGTGATTTTGTTTTTTTTTTTTTTCTTTTCTTTTCTGCTGGTCGTGGGGCCTGAACTCTAGCCCTGGGCACTATACCTCAGCTCTTCAGCTCAAGGCTAGCACTCGACCACTTGCGCCACAGCGCCACTTCTGGCCTTTTCTGCTTATGTGGTACTGAGGAATCGAACCCAGGGCCTCATGCATGCAAGGCAAGCACTCTACCACTGAGCCACTATCCCAGACCTTCTTTGTTTCTATTTTATGTTCTTCCCCCCTGGTATAACCTGTTTTCACTGTATTTGATTCTGGTGCCCTGATTCTTGTATATACATTTTTCTAATTTGGGGAGTGGAAGGGAAATAACAAAATGCTGAAATAAGGACATAGATTGACCCACTGTAACAATGAGATGTACAAGACACTATGTTGAAAACGAACTTTACAACTTGCAGGGGGGAGAGGAGGAGTTGGGAAGATGGGGAGGGAAGGGATGGTAGGGGAAAAACAAAGGAGGAGGCAACAATGCTCCTTAAGAAATATATTCATTAAATTACTCATGTAACTGTAACTTCTCTGTACAATATTTTTACAATAAAAATATATACAAAAAGTTTTATTTTAATAAAGGGGGCAAAAATAATTGAAGTATCTTACATGCATGTATGGAAAACTCACAACAAAACCACTTCCTTTGCACTAGTCATATATGCTAATAAAATAATTTAAAAAACCCAAAAGGTACATTTTGATGATTCTAATAAGACTAGAAATCATAAAAAATTGTAGATTTCCTATAAATTTATATACCACACCTTATAATAAAATTAAAAAAGTATTTTACCCATAAACTAGCAGGTTTTTCTCTACTCTAAAGCATTCAGTTCTTCCATAGCCACTGGAGCGATCACAGGGTCTCCGAAGTTTAGGTTTTTCATCTCCTTCACTTTCAGCTTCAGATAATTCAGCCAATTCATCTTTTGTGGCACTAAAGGGTCTTGTTTGCTTCCTAATTCTTGGAGTGTCAATAACCAAGCTATTCTGTAAAATTTGATATTATGCTATTACTTGATGGTCATTTTATAACTTTGCTTACAATAAGTTACATTTTCATCTTTCAAGCCAAACAAATAAAATTATAGACAAAGTAACAAGAATAAAAATTATTACTAAGTTCTATCACACAAATCAAGTATGTTAAAATTTCTTTCTTTTTTTTTTTCTTTGTGAGTTGTGGTACTTGAACTCGGGGCCTGGGTACTGTCCCTGAGCTCTTTAGCTCAAAGCTGATGCTCTACCACTTGAGCCACAGCTCCACTTCTGATTTTCTGGTGGCTAATTGGAAATGAGTCTCACGGACATTCCTGCCCATGCTGGCTTTGAACTGAGATCTTCAGATCCCAGCCTCCTGAGTAATTAGGATTACAGGTGTGAGCTACTGGCACCTGGCTAATATTCCTTTAAACTGGCTAATATTCCTTAAAAGTATTATTCCCACAATGTATAATTTTATGTTATATGCCTTCTAATTTATTTCACCCGTTTAATTCATAATATAATTTAGACTTTTCAGTTTGAACATTCTGCTCTAAGTGAGGTAAGTGATCTAAATTCATCCTAAAGATAAACACAAAAGGAAAATAACCAGAAAATGAAGCATGGTTAAAAGTCATGAATTTTATAGATTTTAAAACATATACTAGTTTTCTCCAGGAGTTCACTTGCAGGAGGTATAGCTTAACAATAGAGCACTTGCCTAGTAGATGCAAGGCCTTGAGTTCAAACTTCAGTACCAAGTTTAAATGACTAAAAATAATTTAGGTTGGACTACCTTTTAACTATACTGTGAATCTTTTCTAAGTTAAATCCCATTTTAAGAGCTTTAGACACAAACATGAGTAAGATAGAACCTGCTAAAAAGGAATCCATTCACTGAGAGTCAGGAAAATGTGTATGTGTAAAAGCGGGGGGAAGCAATTCAGTATGAAATATTTTACAATGCAAGAAAGAAAAGCAAAGCAAAGATAACATTAGGTAAACATGAATAACATTAGAAAACTAGATAACATAGAAAACATTGGAAAAAATTCTTGAAGTACAATTTAGCTAGGCAGCTGAGGATAAACAGCATCATGAGATAATAAAGGGCGAGGCCAGAAGTGTCATTAGATTTTTAGCAATCTTTGAAAGCCTAGAACAAGAGGGAAATCATTTGAAGATCCTGTGGTACCACTGTATGTAACATGCATAATATTAGTATGTTTTATTATATACAAGTAGCCTTTGCCAAATTTCTCTACAGTTAATATATATTTATATATTTTGAGATGACAGAAATACATGTTTCTCCATAAATTTATATACATATTGGAGGATCTTATATTGTGTGATTATTACAATGGTGAATTAATGGTAGTCTTTATAATTGTTCATTCCTTCTACATTTATTAATTTGAATTCTTCTATAAGGAAGAGGTGGCCTTTTCCCCATCCTAATATCTTTAGCAGTACTGGCATTTGATCTCAGGGTCTTTAGTGCACTGTACTCTGGTACAGTGCTTGCTGGGCTGGTATTCTACCACTTGAGCCATCCTTTCCCAATTTCTTAACTGAAACAAAACAATTCTTTTTTGTGGCTTGAACTCACGGCTTTTTTGCTCAACACTAGTGCTCTACCATTTTTAGCCACAGAGCCACTTCCAGTTTTCTGGCAGTTAACTGGACATTAGAGTCCCACAGACTTTCTTGCCCAATCTGGCTTTGAACCACAATCCTCAGATCTCAGCCTCCTGAGTAGCTAATATTATAGGCATGAGCCACTGGTACTGAGCTTAACTTATAGGTTTTATATTCAACTAATTAACTTTCATATATACATCTGCTATAAATAGTCAAGTCTGTTACACTTCCTTTTTATGTATTATATAATTCTCAGTTAACTACATAAACATAACATGTACTGCACTTGTGATTTGTTTTCAATAATTTAGAATGTTTCCTCACTAAAGAGGTTATCATCAATTGTGATGCTTTGATTTAAAAAATTTGAAACTTTTAATTACAATTTAGTGTTTACTTAGTATATAGTATTATGATGCTCCTCCAATATGCTAAATCCTTTTGATATTGATCTTTTCTCATTCTTATCCTATGGTTTGCTCTGTGTCTTTCAAATTACTGTTGACTCAAAATATAGTTAAGAATTGGCTATTAAGCATGTAGTAATGATAGTCTATTATACTACAATATAAATTTTGAAGTATATTTATACAAATATTAAATTATTTTTATATATGTATAAAATCCTTTATAAGCTATAAAGGTACTAACTTGAATGTATCTATGGTCTGATACTACCTATTACCATGCTCTCTTTCTACAATAATTTGTTTTTCTATTGTCTTTAAGTGGTTGTACAAAGGAGTTGTAACACAAAAAAGCAGTATATGAGTATAATACCTCTACATCAGTATCACCCCTATGCAACAGAATTCAGTAAGCTTATTTTTACCAATAAACTACTTGGATTAAAAGAATTTTCTTTTTGTCTTCATATTGTTCCCTCTCATCATTTAAATCTCAACACAAAGATCTCCTCAGAGCAACCTCTGTGCACTACTTTTATCTGGCATTCTCCATCTCATTATTTCTTTCACTCTCTGAAATTATCTTACCTATTGATTTAATGCTGTCTTTCCCATTGGGATATAAGTCCTGTAATACTTTGTCTTCTTACATTAGTTAAAATGTGACATTTGGTGCTTGGATCACTTTTTGATGGATCCACAGCATAAATGATTATGAATGTCTTTGTAGACCCAATACATACATGAAAAAACACAGACCACATTATACGTATTGTTTTGTATGCATGGATAATACTGTTGTTATTCCTAATTAAAAGACTTATAGTTTTGGGGGTGGGAAGGTGGCTCAGTGCATGCATGAAGCCCTGGGTTCGATTCCTCAGCACCACATATGCAGAAAAAGTCACAAGTGGTGCTGTGGCTCAAGTGGTAGAGTGCTAGCCTTGAACTGAAGAGCTGAGATACAATGCCCAAGCCTAGAGTTCAGGCCCCACGACCGACACACACACACACACACACACACACACACACACACACACACACACACACACACACACACACACACACACACACAGTTTAAAAACTATATGAAGAAAAAGAAAAAAAATAAGATCCCATTCATCAATACTTACTAAGCAGTATGAATATATCATACTAAATAACATTTTGACAGTAAGTGATGATGACAAAAATATTTCTTATAACGTTACTTATCTAGATATTGTTTTGATAGTAGGTCAAAGTCATAAACATTAATTCCCATAAAGCTCCTAGACAGTCATCCTTGTAAGTGAACAATTATGATATTATCAAATCTATGAGTTTTGCTTTGGTCCTTTTTTCTTGAGCTCCAATGAAGTTATAAAAGAAACAGTTTAGAAATCTATTTTCTTGATTGCCTTTCATCTCTTTTTGTATTGTACTGGATCATCTTAAATGGGTTGACACCATTTAACCTTATTTGTCAACCTGATTAGAATGAGAAGCACCTACTAGATTATTGAAACACTTCAATGGCTATGTCTGTGAGGGTATTTCTGCAGGGAATTAACTAAGGGAGGAAGATTCCCATTTCCTGAATATGAGTGGTATCCATGTAAGTTCTTTAGTGGTATAGAAGGGGAAAAAAAGAGATAGTCCAGTCATTTTCTCTCTTCATTTTTTGACCACCATGATGTGAGATGCACTGTCATACTATGGTCACCATGATGTAGAAAAGCCACAAGTTAAAATAAATAATTCAACTACTTAAGGTGTTTTTTGCAAGTATTTGGTCACAATGATAATACAACTCATTAACAGATACTATATTAAGCAACAACAACAAAAAGAACAGGAAAAGAAAAGTAACATACGATTTGAAGACAAGATAAGCTGTTGTAATTATAATAATATAGATTACATACAAAAGTTATAACCTATTGTAACAGACATCAGAAGTATTGAATTGAACAATGGCTAAAACAGAATGTAATTATCCTTCAATCTCATTTCTACATATTTATGTATAAATTAATTTCAAGACTTCCTAATTGAGTATCTTAAAACATCGTTAAGAATATTGGTGAAATATCCCCCAAAGCAATTGTTTTAGAGGGAAATACTTACTCTGCCACTGAGGGTATCTATATCGATTTCTGCTTTCTTAGCCCATTTTTGCCAGAAATTGGGATCATCCAAGGAAATATCTGTCCTGTTTCCAGATGCCACAAAACTTGCCTGAAATACAGGAGTTTTTCCAAAATGAAAGGGAAAACATAAAAATGTATTTAAAATGTTACCTCTTCATATTTGCTATACTATTTATCAAATTCAAATTTAGCATACACACAAAAAAATGTAAAAATCTAGTTGACTGAAATATAACTCAAATTATGTCAGGTAAAGACTAACTAATGCTCCCAAACAGTCTAGAATTTTAGGGGGGAGTAAATTATTAGTACTGCTGTTTAACTCTCAGGCTTTCTCTCATACTTTCCTTTCAGCAAGGAAACAACACAGGACAGAAACAGACTTTCTAAAAATGACTATATACACATTAAGAAATTAAGGTACAAGCCAGGCACTGGTGGTGTATGCCAGTAATCCTAGCTAATCAAGAGGCTGAGATCTGATGATCATAGTTTAAAGCCTGCCAGAACAGAAAGCCTCTGAGACTCTTATTTCCAATTAACTACCCAAAAGAGCTGGAAGTGAAGTTGTTGCTCAAGTGGTAGAGTGCTATCCTTGAGCAAAAGGAGCTGGACAGGGCCCAGATCCTAAGTTTAAGCCCCAGAAACACACTCTTAAAAAATACAGAAAAAAAGAAACTAACATACAAGAAGATTTTCAAAAATCTACCTATAGCATACAGCTCATTTTCTAGCATATATCCTACTATATTTCCATTAAATTTTCAGATAGACATGTCACCTGAAGAAAACAATACAGTTTCTAGGAAATGAAAAAATGAATCATTGTGTGTATAAAATTCTCTTCTTGGAACTAGAGATGTAACTCAGTAGTACAGCACTTATTTAGCAAGTACAAGTCCCAAAGTCCTGGGGCTTGAATTCAGGGTCTGGGCACTGTCCCTGAGGTTCTTTTGCTCAAGGCACTCTACCAGCCACAGTGTGTATATGGTACTGAGGAACTGAACCCAGGGCTTCATGAATGCAAGGCAAGCACTCTACCACTAAGCCACCTTCCTAGACCACAATAACCATTTAAAAAAATTTTTCCTTTACAACAAAATTTTTATCTAAAAATTTTAAAAATTGAAGAAAACCTAGAGGAAAAACAGAAGAAAATATGAAGTCTTTTAGCTGAAACTTTTGATATCACACTGACTATATACTTGACGGGCTAATAACCATTATTGACAACTTATGTCACTAATAAGCCATCCCAAAGAAAAGTCATATAAATGCCATATAAAAAGGAAAAAAAAACCAAGAAAGATAAATAATGCTAAAAAAAAAAAAGACTATCAAGCCTTACAAGTCCTTGAAGGAGAGATAAGCGTAGTGGTACACTCATCTGATTGAACACTTGGGAAGTTCACAGAGGAGAACTTTGGATCTAAAGCCAGTGTGGACCTATGTAGGCTCCAGACCACCTGGGATACAAAAATGATTTTTGCTGGTGCTGGTAGCTCACACCCATAATCCTTGTTATTCAGGAGGCTAAGATCTACAGATCTTGTTTCAAAGCCAGCTGGGGCGGGAAAGTTTGTGATACTCTTATCTCCAATAAACTACTCAGAAAAAGCCAGAAGTGGCATTGTGGCTCAAATAGTTGAGCTCTAACCTTGAGGAAAAAAAAAAAAAGCTCAGGGACGGAGCCTAGGCCCTGGGTTCAAGCCCCAGTACCCATGCATCCAACTCGCACTCAACACATGATTTTAAAAAGTACAACTGATATAAGACTTTAGAATAATGCCTATTGAAAATCAAGGTTAAAAAAAATCTTCATTTAAAGAGCTATCTTGATAGAGAGCAGTGGTGGCTCGTACTTGTAATTCTTGCTGCATAAGAGGCAGAGATTATAAGCATCTTGGTTAAAGGCCAGCCCATCCCGATCTCAACCAATAAAAACCTGCACATGGTTCTATACACCTGTAATCTTAGTTCATAGAAAGTATAAATAGGATCACAGTCCAGGTCAGTCCAGGCAAAAATGAGAATCTATTTAAAAAATTAAATATAAACAAAAAGAGCTAAGTGTGTACCAACCTTGCAAATCTAACAAGTGAAAGGCCCTTAGTTCAAACCTTAGAACCATGAAAAAAACAAAAATTTCATGAAGCCTTAAAACACAGAAAATGACACATTAAAAGAGAATAAAACTGTTAAAAAAACAAACCAATCATTTGTGATATTCAAGGTAACTGAAAACCTAAGCATAGAATAGTAATAAGGAGTTATGTATTATATTATTTGAAATTTGAATATCATATTTTAAGAAACTCTTTAGTGACATTATGGTGTGTTGATATGATAACTGAGATTTACTTTAAAAAAGTATGAAAGATGGCTAGTAATGAAACCAGTTTAGCATGAGTTGATAATATTAAAGCTGGATAATGAGTACATAAGTTATAGCTTTCTGTCTGTACTTCTAGTTTGAAGCTTATAAAATGTACACAAATCAAAATTCTAAATGTTTCTCCCTGAACTTTAACTTTCTGTTTTCATTGTTGCTAAGTGCAACAACAAATTCATTCATTCAATCTAGATTTCCTGTGAGGTTGGGCTTTATAGGTGCTTGTATAAAGCAAGTGGTAAATACTGTATGTTTAAAAATGTGTCTGTGCACACTAAACCTATAGAACAGAAGTAACAATAATTAACATTTTAATCAAATGAATTTAGACCCCTTTTTCTCTTCTACTACACTCTAGTTTTAATATTAGGAAACCATTCAAAAATTTTATTTCATTCAAACAATGAATTTGACAAGCAAAATTACAACATCATCTCTGGAATCCTACATTGTGTTCTGTAGCAAAAAAGGGATTTTGAAAGTATGATTAAGGATGCTCAAATTAGCTTGCATCATCCAGGTAGGCCCTAATGTTGACTACAAGCATCCTTAGAAGGAGTTTAGTGGGAGATTTGATTATAGAAGAAGCATAGCACATCACAGAACAGAATCAGATATTGGACAAACTGAGGCAAAAAAACAAGGAATGCAGGGAATGCTAAGAACTGGAACAAGTAAAACATATTCTCTCCTGGATTCTCCAGAATGGACCATGTTGCAGCACTTTGATCTTAACTGTGTCAGATCCAAGGTTGGAATTCTCATGTTCAAAACTGTGATAGAATAATTTATGTTGTTATAAGCCACTAAATTTGTAGAACTTGTTAGAGTACTGAGGTTTGAACTGAAGTGCTTATTTAGTTTGGCAGTCAATCTACAATGTGCCTGGAGCCCCTTTTCAAATGGGATCTTGTTTTTTTGTCTGAACTGACCACAAACCCTTTCTGTACCACATCCATTGTTTATTGATTGATATGGAATCCTGTGAACTTCTAATCCCAAACTGGCCAGGAACAGCCATCCTTTTGATATCAACCTCCCATGTAGCTGGATGACAGGCAAATGCTAAGATGCCTAGCTACTCCTTTTAGAGGGGGGAGTCTCATGGACTTATTGCACAGGTTGGACTTGAAATTACATCCTCCATATCTCTGTCCCCAACACAGCTAGTATCACAGACATGAACCAGTGGTACCTAACTCAATAAGACATCTTTTTCACCTATTGCAAAAACTCATATGCAACTTGAAAGAACAAAGGCTAACTTTGATAAAACAAAAATCAGCTATCCATTATCTGTAAAAAATCAAGTTTATCCAAAATACCTGAGACCATTTCTAGTCAAATTTGAAATTTTTAACATTTTCCAATATTTTCCCAGACTTTACTGGGCTAATTATTCCTAATCGAAAATCATAAATTAGAAATCCCTTTAAATTTAGAACTGTTTGGACTGTTCCTGAGTTTCAGATTTTGGAGCACTCCAGATTTCTTATAGTCAAGAGTGGAGAGACTAAACTTCCATATAACATTTCATTAAACAGGTGAGGCACAAACATCTAACAATGAAGAGACTTCATTTTGTTCTCAGAAGTAAACTGTAACAACTAAGGACGCATATTTTCAAATCCTCATCAATATTCAAGAACCATGAAAAGGTCATTGAATTAATTTTGTAGAGTTTATTTTGTTTCCTCTAAATATATCCTGATATTTCACCAACATCCTAAATAACTATTTCATGTGAATTAGAGAACATGTAATATGAAAAGCCACAAACACAAAAGTCATTGCAAGATTTTTCATTAGAGTGTACAATCATTATTCTGCTACCACTTAACAGTCCATAAATGAAATAATATGCGAAGAAATTAAATTTCATGATTAAAATTTTTGCATTCATTAAGAGAATGATAAATCTATGTTTATATATTTGTGGTTTTATTTTAATTTTTTTTGGTATGGTGTATGGGGATTGCCTATAGGTAAGACTCTTATCACTTAAGCTATACCTCCAGCCCTTTCATTTTTATTTTATTTTTGAGAAAAGATCTTGCTAAATTTAATAGGGTTGGCCTTTACACTATCAAACTCCTTGCCTCTATTGCTACTCTTCAGAAGCTAGAATTGTAGATGCAAATCACCACCTAGCTTTTTTTTTATTGGGGAAAGGTGGGGGGAAAGGTTGTTGGACATCGGGCTTGAATTTAGGTCCTGTATCTCTGAGCTATTTTGCTCAATATTAGTGCTCTACCAGTTTGAGCCACAGTTCCACTTCCTGTGTTTTGGTAGTTACCGTGAGATAAATGTTTCCTGGACTTTTCTGCCTGGGCTGATCTTGAACTGTGATCCTCAGATTGTAGCCTCCTGAATAGCTAGGTTTACAGGGGTGAGCCACTTGCACCCAGCTGATAAATTTATTTATAAAATTGAAAAATTTTAAACTTCTAAATAAAGATGCTTTTGTTAGCTGACATTAACATATTTTTAAGAAGATTTACAAGATTCTGAAGGAATAATGCCTTTTGAAATGAACTGCTGATTGTGTTAAGATATTATCAAGAACAGATTTATCAATTGCTTCTAAACTTTAAATTGTAACATACCAGTTCCTTCTTTTCCCTCTCTATCTTCTGGTTTTTAGGGATTCAAAGTTAGGATCTTCTGCTTGTTTGGCTCACATATCACCACTTGAGTCACTCCTCCAGTCTTGCTTTTGCTGGTTATTTTGGAGATGGAGTCTTAGGGACTTTTCTGTCCTGGCTGGTTTTAAACTGAAATCCTCTTATTCTTGGTCTCCCAGGTTGCATGAGCCATATGCAATGGGCTCCAAATTATTTTTGCATTTGACCAATAATTAAATGCAATTACTATTCTTTAGAGAAGAGTCTTAAGTGAGTTTTAAAAATCCATCATTTTATAACAAAGTAATAGGAACATAATAGATGCCAGAGAAAGAGCCTTCTGAATATGAATTGAAATTCAATAAGGCTTTGTATGATAAATTCAATTCAGCAGTTCAACTCTTATGTGCCCTCCCTCCCTCACTCCCTGGTTATACTGTGTGTTGAATGCAGGGCCTCTAGCTTTTTAGGCAGGTGTTCTATTGAGTCATACACCAAGCTCTTTTTGCTTTGATTATATTTGGGATAGAATCTCACAGTTTAACCCAGGACCTGCCTAAACCCTTCATTATTCTCCTTTTTATGTTTTCCATGAAGGTAGGAAAAAAGGTAAGTGCCACTCAGCTACTGGATAAGATGGGATCTTACTTAATATTTTACTCAGGCTGGCCTCAACCTGAGACTTCCCTTGATTTCTGCTTTAAGTAGTTATACTTTTTTTTTTTGAGGCAGTGTCTCTCAGTGTGCAGCCTTAGCTAGCCTCAAACTCATGATCCCCCTACCTCAGCCTCCTGACTTGTATCTCCAATTAACCAGCAAAGAGAGAGAAGTGGAATTGTGGCTCACGTAGTAGAGTGCTAGCCTTGAGTTTAAAAGCTATTCAAACTAGAATCTTCAACAAGTCATCCTGAGCACTGCACAAATTTCTTTTTTTTTGGATCCGGTTGTGGGGCCTGAACTCTGGGCCTGTGCGTTGTCCCTCAACTCTTCAGCTCAAGGCTAGTGCTCTACCACTTGAGCCACAGCGCCACTTCCGGCTTTTTTCTTTTTTGCTTATGTGGTGCTGAGGAATCGAACCCAAGGCCTCATGCATGCAAAGCAAGCACTCTACCACTGACCCACCTTCCCAGCCCCGACAGCACAAATTTCTAAATGTTCAGTGATTCAAGAAGGACTCTACTAGCTGGGTTCAACAATCATTACTTCCCACACATATTTCTTTAATAATCTTCCTGAGTCCAGATTTTCATTTTCCAATCTGTTCACCTAATGGCTACTTAAATTAAATTATGTCACACAATGTCCTTCAAAAACTGGATTACAACTTTCCAAATATTTTCAGTTTCTGGTCTATCTAATTCATCTCACACATTTAACATGTCAATGCCGTATTTTAAAATCCTGTAGTTTCATAGTGTATGATTAATTTATGAAGGCTTGTATTCACTCCGCCCCCCCCATAATTCCTTTAAGACTTGACTCAACTATTGTTTTCTCTGTAAAAGCTTTCATTACTTTTGTTCTGCTTGGTATGTACTTGATATATTTCCTATTTTCGCTCAGCAGCTATAGCCCTTTAGTTTGAGTATTTCTAGCATTTAGTAAAATTTAGTCCAACAAAAATTCATTAGGTTGCTGAATGAGATCAAGACAAAATTTTCTATGTGAAGACCAATACCATTACTTTTGTTGTAGCACTTGAACGGTAGTACTTTAATACAAGGCTCCTCAAGTAGGTAAATCAAGATGTTGAGTGGAAGCTGAAATGGAGATGGGAATGGAAGAAAACTGTAGTAGAAAGTAAGCTCTCCACATTTCTATAAGGAATTTCTGTGAATCAGTGCAGCTATATAAAACATGGCAAGCTGGGCACTGGTGGCTCACACCTGTAATCCTAGCTAATCAGGAGGCTGAGATCTGAGGATCACAGTTCAAAGCCAGCCTGGGTGGGAAAGTCTGTGAGACTCTTATCTTCAATAAATCACTTGAAAACTGGAAGTGGCGCTGTGGCTCAAGCGGTAGAGCGCTTGCCTTGAGCTGAAGAGCACAAGGACAGCACCCAAGCCCAGAGTTCAAACCCCACGACCAACCAACCAAATAAATAAATAAATAAAATAAAATATGGCAATAAAATCTCTTAAGATCAGAAGACACAGGTTTATCATGTCTCTACTGAAAATAATATAAAAACATTAAGCTCTAATATTTTTCCTCCAAATACATTAATACTTATTCTCCAGACAGAAATTCCATTGTACACTTTCTAAATTATAGTTTAGTATTTCAAATTAAATTGGAAATCCTTTTTCTTCCTTTAGGCTCTTTAAATAATTAAAGATAATGTAAGATGATTTAACCACCCCTACATATTACTTACATTTTCCTCTGCCTCCAGTATATATCCTTTAGTTTCTAAATTCCTTTGATTTCAAATGCTTTACTCTGATTAATATGTAGAGCTATTTCTAGTTATCACATTTATTCCATTTCACTAGGATCAGAAGAGCACATGTGAAATTTCATAAAAGATCAGAAAAAATGAAGGAAAAGAATATATTATCTATTATTTTTTAGCTAATTTATCATGTTAAAGATAGAAAAAATTAAAAAATTTTAGTAATGAAGATGTGACCTTTACTGCTATAAATTCATAAACTAGTACTCACTGTTACCTTGGCAAATGTTGACCCACGACCTTCTGACTCAATAGTAATAGTTTTTGTACGGCGTAATAAAATCTGATCAATGTCCTCTTCACAGAATTTGGAGCCTTCGTCTTCCTCCTCCATAATGGCACCATAAGCACCTCTTCTAAGCAAATCTTCTATTTCCTTTTTAGAAAGCTGCTGAATCTAAAATCAAAAAATTAATAATAATGATATTAACAATTGTTATTTTCAAAGTTCAGAATGAGAAAGTACCAAAAACATGACATTTCATGTTTACATTACTTTTGGGTTTGAGATGAATTTAAGAGAGAATTTACTGCAATATTACATTGAAATTGATTACTTTTCCTGGATATCTTAAAAATATGAATTACAAATCTGCCTGAAATGGCTTAAATTAAATGATAGCCTAAGGGAGCAGGAAATCTTTTAAATACTTTAGTATTAAGACTCAATATTAGACAAAATATGAGGGGGGAGGAGGGAAAGGCACAATTCATAATAATACAAAACCAACATATAACATTTTTAAAACTCTGCAAAATGTTTATATAACTAATGTAGAAAATTTTACAAATTCAGATTTGTTATGCCATGATACAAATGTCCTACAAAGACAGCAAATCATTTCTGTATTCAAAACATATTCTTAGAATTTATAGCTCTATAGCTTTGAGGTATTCTTAGGAATTAACTAACTAGCTCTATTCTCTAAATGCCTTTTTGAACAAACCAATGTCTTTAGTGTTCCTCTTTGAACAAAATGTAATGATAGGATACTAGAGATAAAACTGAGCATAAAGATAAAAATAACAGAACAAAAAACCCTCAAGTGAAAAGAAGGATACATACACCACCAACATTACTTTCTCTTCCACTCATGCTCTGTAGCACAGCTTTATCAAGGCCAAGTTTCAGACTGGCCCGGTCAAACATCTCTCTCTCATAGGAGTTACGAGTTACTAATCTGTAGACTTTAACTGCTTTGTCCTGACCAATTCTGTGGCAACGAGCTTGGGCCTAGGGATAAAAGAGAAGTTATACAATAATTTTTCCCACAAAAGGTATTTATTAGTGAACTAAATATACATATGTATATATTTATATGTATGCATAATACAACTGTGTGAAAATCTGTACACACATTTGCTAGAGAGTTAAAAGCTCTACCACTGGAGACATGCCTCCAGCCCTCATTTTTGTTGGTTAATTATAGGTGGAGTCTTGAGGACTTTTCTGCCTGGGCTGGCTGAAATCCTTGAGGTCAATATTTTTTCCCCTACAGTAAGGGTCTTGTTGTATAGTCCATGCCAGCCTATGTACCTCAGAATATGTACCCCTTGCTATGTATTTCCAGCTAGCCTCAAACTTGTTATAATATAATAGTCTTCCAAGTGCTAGTACGACAGGCTATCATGCCTGAATATGATCAAGCTTTAAAAGTCTTTTGAGTCCAAACTTAAATTACCAAGGTTTTCTGTATTTCAGGATCTTTTCAATCTATTTATGTTTCAGCTGGGTACCACTGAAATCGGAACAAAATCAAAGATGACTAACTATGGAGATCTAAGTTTTATTTAAATGGAAAAAAAACATGTCATGTACACACTAGAAGTGGACACATGAGATAATGGAGCTTTATATTTTTCTTACTACATTTAATTCTGAATCACAAGTCGTGTACACATTGTGTATATACTAGGGCTTGAACTCAAGGACTCTTACTCTGTTCAGCTTTTTCTCTGGCTAGTGCTTCTACCATTTGAGCTCTACTTCCAACTTTGGCTTTTTCTGGTTAACTTAAGCACTTAAAATTTGTCTTCCTGGACTAGCTTTTCTCTGCTCCCAGCCTCTTAAGTAACTACCATTATAGGTGTGGGTAACTGGCACCCAGCCACATACATTTTCATATTCAACTCTTTGTTGAATAAATTTTTATAATAGATGAAAGGTATTATTACCAAATGCCTTAATTGTAATACATTAATACAAGATGACCAGATAAAATTTTGATAAACAAATACTCATTTTAATGAAATTATAATTCTGGCTGTTTTTGCCAGTTCTGGGGCTTGAACTCAGGGCTTGGACCCTGTCTCTGAGCTTCTTTTGCTCAAGGATAATACTCTACCACTTGAACCACAGTGCTACTTCCAGCTTTTTCCATTTACGTGGTACTAAGGAATCAAACACAGGACTTTATACGTGCTAGGCATTCTACCATTAAACCACATTCTTATCCCCTAATTCTGATTCTTTAATTTCATTTATCAGTAAGTTATTGTAAGACCTTGGGTCTCTCAAGTTTCTATAACTTTTTGAAGGTTTATTTGCAGTGCTGGAGACTGAACCAAATACCTCACATTTTAAAGAATAGAAACACCTACTCAACTATGTATACCATTGTATAAGTTAACATATTTCATGTAGCCTTTTTTTTTTTTGGTCAGTCGTGAGGCTTGAACACTGGGCATGGGCGCAGTCCCTGAGCTCTTCAGCTCAAGCTAGCGCTCTACCACTTGAGCCACAATGCCACTTCCAACACATATTTTTAAATATATTTTATTATGTATAATAGTCAATGTTAATTTCACTTGCTTTGGTTGGAATAGATATTTCTAAGGGAAATAAAAGTAAATTTCCAGGGGCTGGGAAGGTGGCTCAGTGGTAGATTGCTTGCCTTGCATGCCTGAGGCCTTGGGTTCGATTCCTCAGCACCACACAAGCAAAAAGAAAAAAAGCCGGAAGTGGCGCTGTGGCTCAAGTGGTAGAGCGCTAGCCTTGCGCTGAAGAGCTGAGGGACAGCGCCCAGGCCCAGAGTTCAGGCCCCATGACCGGACCCCCCCCCAAAAAAAGTAAATTTCCAAAAATAGTTATGTGAACAATTACATTCCTTGTTATACAATGCATTTATTACCTGAAGGTCATTTTGAGGATTCCAATCAGAATCAAAAATTATACATGTATCAGCTGCAGTTAAATTGATGCCCAGCCCACCAGCTCGGGTACAAAGGAGAAAAACAAATCGATCTGAATCAGGTTTACTAAATCGATCTATTGCAGCTTGTCGGAGATTCCCTCTGACTCTTCCATCAATTCGCTCATATAAATATCTATTGAAATGAGATGAAATAAATTTAAATAGGTGAATATAATATAAATGAAGATAGAGTTAATCAATGCCAATTTTCTAGCAACATATGGTCAGTATAAAATTAAAAGCATGATCACCCCAATTATTTTCTAAGGTTCTATAATTCTTGGTATTAGTACTAAGGAGGAAACATAAAGTGATATAAATACAAAATGTTTGTATTCTTGGATGAAAAGTAGAATAGCATTACAATAAATGCCACTTTGGGAAGTTGGAATGACAACTATCCTGCCAATCTCATCATCTCATCAAGATCCCTGCATTGCTAGATTATATTCCACTCTACCATGCCAGGCTTGTAGGTTCAAATGAGGCTTAAATAACTTTTTGCCTGAACTAGCTTTCAAGTTTCAATCTTCCCTTACAGTCTCCTTCTGAATAGCTGGAATTAGAGGTGTGACTACTGTACCAGACATACCCCAATACACACCTTTTACTGAGGACTGAACACAGGGCCTCTGGCAAGTGAGACAAAATCCCTATCAGGTCAGTGGTCTCTGCTACTTTTTCTTGTTAAGTTTGTTTGTAAAGGTAGTTCAGATTATCCTGGAATTCATTTGGTAGCCAAAACAGGCCTCAAACTCACAATCTTGCCTCAGCTGCTCAAGTGTGGGGATTACATGTATGAATTACCATGTACAGCTTTATGGAATACTTTGCATTTTGAAGATGGTTGCCTAAAATATAAGCTCATGCAAGGTCTCACTATGACAGCATTTACAAATCAAGTAAGTCTCATTCCTATAGTGAAACAACATGCATCAAACTTAATAACACACTCAATATAACTGGTAATTCAGTGAGTTGTGGCAGACTATATTTACCTTTTATGTATGAGATAGTCTTCCAGGATATCAAGGCAGCGAACCATCTGAGAGAAGATGAGTACTTTATGACCTCCTGCTTTCATTTTGGGAAGCAATTTGTCAATTAAAACCAATTTACCAGCAGACTGGATCATTGCTTGAAGGTGAAAATCAGAAGCAGCTGGATTATATGTATCTCTAAATTCACCAAGTATTTTTTCCTCGGCACCTGTGACAGAAATAAGAGACAACAGGAGCAATGTAACAACTGCAGATGGGGCTGGGAAGTTGGCTCAGTAGTAGAGCGCTTGCTTTGCATGCCTGAGGCCCTGGGTTCGATTCCTCAGCACCACATAAACAAAAAAAAAAGCCGGAAGTGGTGCTGTGACTCAAGTGGTAGAGCGCTAGCCTTGAGCTGAAGAGCTGAGGGACTGTGTCCAGGCCTAGAATTCAGGCTCCACGACTGGACCCTCCCCCCCAAACAGAAAAACAACCAACTGCAGATAATTCCCAAATGCTTTAATTTATATCAGAGTAAGTACTCCTTATGATTCTGTAACATATAATTTACTGATGACAAATGCATTGCTTTTATAGCAATTGAAGACTTAATCTCTACCAACACTAGATTGGTAATTCTACAGAAGACAAATATGATGTTAGAATCTTTTACTTTTCCAGATACCTGAAGTAACATCTGGTATAAATTTCTGTGTGCTAAATGTTTAGGGCATGATAAGAAGGAATTAATAAAATTGTGGTCTTAATATATAGATACAATTATCTAATTAAAAAACAAATATCTAATCTCTAAATATCAACCATTAGCACTGATAACTGAAGGCTGCTTATAACTAAGCTTTCAGAAAATCTACATCTGAATTAAGAGCCTCTTAGTGTTCTTTTCCTCAGCCTTTCTATCATACTAGAAATAATGTTAGTTCTAGCTTTTCTAGAATACTAAAATCTAGTAGAAAGGTTCTTGGGTAAAGTGGTTGAGGAGTCCAATAGAGTGAATGGAAAGACCTAAACAGTGTAAAGACAGAACACTGGCAGAGAACCTGAAATGATCTTAGGAAGTATTACTAGCACAAAACTGCTAATAGGAAGCCAGGCACTGATGGCTTCTACATGTCATTCTACCTATTCAGGAAGCTGAGATATGAGAATCGTTGTTTGAAGCCAGCCTGGCAGGAAAGTCTGTGACACTCTTATTTCCAATAAACTACTTAGAAAAAGCCAGAGAGGCACTGTGGCTCAAGTGGTAGAGCGCTTGCCTTGACACAAAGAAGTTCGGGGACAGCACCTAGCCTTTGGACTACAGGGAGGGCAAAAAACAAACAACAACAACAAAAAAAACCCAAACAAACAACAACTAATATTAATAGGAGGATACTGACAGGAAACAAGGTAATAAGTAAATGTCAAAATTCAAAAAAAAAAGGCTTTTGCTACCTTCTTCCCTGCGGAGAATTAAAGGAGAATTCTACTCTAAGACATTGTAAAACCCTGGTAGTCTTAAAAGAGTAGAATGAAGGTTTTAACAAGCACAACAGTGATGTTTTGATTATTTATTCACATTACTGGTTTAAAGAAAAAAAAATTTGTTGCAACTTGTTTAATTACCTTTAATAAGATATGGATGATTACAGCATTTTCTGAGCTCCATCATGGTATTGACCAAGTTAGGTACATTAGTTTGTCCTACTCCTTTGGATAAAAATGAAAAGTTCTTCTCCAAAATAGCCCTGTAGTATTTCTTTTGTATGTTAGTAAGCTCAACTTCAATGATGGTTTCTTCCTTAGGTGCTAATTTCTTTTCTACGTCTTCCTTTAATCGCCTCAACATCATTGGTTTCAGAATGGCCTGAAGTTTCTGCACCTGAAAAAAAAAAGGTGATGAAACCATACAGTAATAATATACACATTCCCTGTTCCATGATGATGACAATGATAATAATAATAACAACTACAATGAAGGATTTGATATGTAATAGGATACCTGTTCCTCTGTTTTAAGATCTCCAAATTCTTGCAAAAATGTTGATTCAGAAGGAAACCTTAAAGGTTCAAGAAAATGAAGAAGACTGAATAGTTCTTCAACTGTATTTTGGAGAGGAGTGCCAGTCAAAAGGACCTTGTGTTCCTATAGAAACCAAGAACAATTATATCAAATACAAAGGTACTAAAACTAGATAGAAGCTGATTTAAGTTATCAAATGTTCATTGTTTAAAAGTCAAGTATTGCCAGGGGGAGAGCTTGAGGCCCTGAGTTCAAGTCCCAGTACCAGAACACAGAAAGTTTTTATAATCTTGTAAAGATCTCAATTTCTATTATACCCTTAACCTAGTCAAGCCTGTAAAAATCCCTAATTTTTTTATGAAATATATTGTAAATGTTCTTAAAGAAACAAAGGTTTTTAAGAAGCAAAAGACACAGAAGTGGAGCAGTGGCTCAAATGATAGAATGCTAACCGTGAGCAAAAATGCTCAGGGAGCCCGGAACCCATGACTTACACCCGTAATCACGGCAACTCAAGCTGAGAGCTGAAGATCTCGGTTCAAAGACAATCTGAGCAGGAAAGTTGTAAGACTTTTATCTCCAATTAACCACAAGAAAACTGCAAGTGGCGTTGTGGCGCAAAATGGCAGAGTGCTGGCTTTGAGCAAAAAAGCTCAGGAACAGCATTCAGGCTCTGAGTTCAATCCCCAGAACCAACCAAAAAAGAAAAGCCCAAAGGACAGTGCCCTGGTCCTAAGTTCAAGTCCTAGGACAAGAGGGACAAAAAATAGAACCAAAAGAGTTTCTCTATTTTGCATTCAAATATTATTACTATGAAAATTTGTGCTCACTCTGTGCAATGCAGATGATCAGACATTTAAGTCTGATCATTATCACCTTAGTGATAATCTACAAATATGAAACACTAAACAAAATAGTCTTCTAAAATAGAACAGACTGAAATTAAACATCCTAAAAGGAAATAAAATAGAGTATTTTAAGAGTACCACAAACTATCATTTGCAATTTGGCTTCACAATACATTATGTTCCCAAACTATATAAATACATATTGGTGAATCTATACATATGCATACAATAGTAAGTAGTTCTAGAAAGATAAACACTGAATTTTAAAACCTAGTTAGAATTCAAACTGGGTGTCAATATAGATGATGAGGAATTAAAAGGAACACTTTAATCATTTATTGCATTTATGTATTAAGCTTATTTCCTTGAGTACAAATATAGTAATTACATGATCTTAATTAAAAAATTGAATTTTTATTTACAAGATAATAAAATTTGTTTAAAAATTGAATTTTAAAAGAATCAAACTAACAAGATGATGACTAAGAAATTTCAAAATCAATCATGATAAGCACAGAGCTATGTAGGAACTTTTATTTCTCTATCACAAATGACCTAAATAATATCATTTTGATATAAGGACTTTTTATTAAAGAATTTGTAGGATTAAAACTTAAGAAGTTATTTATTTTCCACTAGTACAATTCTACACATTTTTTTGGAAATGTTAGTCAAGGTCTCCTTAGAAAATTATGAATTTTTCCCCTTAATAAAATCTGAAAGCTCAATTAACACACTCAATTATATGTATATAGTACTCAAATATATTTATACACTGACTGTTCTCAATTTTACAGTACTGGATTTTTTTTTTGTTTGGTTTTGGGTTTTTTTTGTGCTAGTACTAGGGTATGAATTCAGGGTCAGGACACTTTCCTTTAGCTTTTTAACTCAAGGCTGATGCTCTACCATTTGAGCCATACCTCACTTCTGGCCTTTTGCTGTTTAACTAAAGGTACAAATCTCACAGATGTTGCTATCCAGGCTGGCTTTGAACTATAATCCTCAGACCTCAGCCTACTAAGTAGCTAGGATGACAGGTCTGAGCCTCCAGCTCCTGGTTCAGTTCTGGAAAGGTTAGGGATTCATGCTTGTTAGGCAAAAGCTCTCCTACTTAAGATATGTCTCTAGTCTTATATACTTAAAATTAATATATTTATATAATTTATTATTTAGTATAGTTACAAATTTTTACACTTTAAATACTATAAATGTAAACTAAATAAATTAGATATGTAAACTAAATTAAAAAATTAGTTACTTACCAGATTCATGAGTTTCAAGCCTTCCAGTAGTTTACAATTTTTATTTTTTAACCTGTGTGCTTCATCAATTATCACACATCGCCATTCAATGGCATTAAGCTCACCACAGCCCCCAAGAATCATTTCAAATGTGGTGATGATAGCTTGGAATCTGTAAGCTCCTCGTATGATACGCCCCTAGAAATAACAACACACAGCTAGAATATACTTGAACTTTTTAGTCCTGCAAAATGACATAAAATGGCATAAAAGCACATTGGCTTTTTATATAAATTATTTCTTACTGAAAATTTTACATAAATATAGACACAATGAAATTTGTTGTATTTTCAGTCATCTTGTCAAAAGAAACATGGATATATCTTTATATTATTGTAAATTATATTCAAATAAATATTATTGGTAAAATGTGTCAGAAAAATATTAAGATTTGGGCTGGGAAGGTGGCTTAGTGGTAGAGTGCTTGTCTGGCATTCATGAAGCCCTGGGTTCATTTCCTCAGTACCACTTACACAGAAAAAGCTGGAGGTGGCGCTGTGGCTCAAGTGGTAGAGTGCCCAGACTGATTTCAAGCCCCAGGGCTGGCCAATAAATAAATAAATAAAGACATAATAATTTACATCAATAAATGGGTATTTAAATACAAATATTTAATACTTCAATCCATGCATTCATACTTCGAATGATAAAAAAGTAATGAATATCAAACTAATGGTCCAAATAATTTGTACAGGTAACATTTTTTTTTGGGGGGGGGGGTCCGGTCGTGAGGCCTGAACTCTGGGCCTGGGCGCTGTCCCTCAGCTCTTCAGCTCAAGGCTAGCGCTCTACCATTTGAGCCACAGCGCCACTTCCAGCTTTTTTCTTATGTGGTGCTGAGGAATCAAACCCAGGGCCTCAGGCATGCAAGGCAAGCACTCTACCACTGAGCTAACTTCCGAGCCCTGTACAGGTAACATTTTATAAGTACCTTTATGCCTGACTGTTCTAGTAGCTAGTGACAGAGTAGTTACAAAAAAAAAAGAAGAAGAAGAAGACAATAGTAATTATCTAAGTTAAACTAACAATTTGATAGCATGGATACAGAATATAGTCAATAAAAAAACCAGTTTTGACTTAGCTGTGGACAATTATAGATATATTTTGAGGTAGTTACATGCTAGGTGTGGAGTGAGAAGACTCAGATTAGACTCTCAAATCTTTAGCTTAAACGATTTAGAGTTACTGTTTACTGACATGAGAAAATTCATGATTTTAATTTTGTATATGTTATACTGAAATCTCTTGTAGATAAAATTGGAGTAGTTAAGTATGTATTTAGAAACTACTCTGAAATTCAGAAAAAAGTTCAGACTTGGTGATAGATTTGGGAGGATGCAATAGTACAGACATAATCTAAGGTGTTTATACCAATGAAATCTGTGAGTAAATGGGCACAGATACAAGACACTGTTAGGAATGATCCCTGGTCATGCCATAGTTCAGATGAGTCAGAAATGACAACAATCTGGGAAAGGAAGCTTGACAAGAAAAACATGATAATATAAGAAAACAAGTTTATTAACAAATTAGATTATTAAAATGAGAATGACAATATAAACTATGAGGTATTGATAGAAAATGTTAAAAATTGTGTGCTTTGATTTACTTTTTTGTTCTTTAAATTAGTTTATATTGGCTACTTAAGTTCAATACTAGCTCCATTACTAAGAGAGGTAAAAAGTATAAATCTATGGCATTTGCAAAACTCAAAATCAGGACTCCAGTGGGGCAGACTTACTAATCTTAGTTTTGCTCTATAATTTTAGGGCAATCTAGATTTTTTTTTTTTGGTCTTGAACTTTTGGTCTTTTTTTGGGGGGGCTTGAACTCTGGGCTGAATGCTGTCCCTCAGCTATTCAGCTCAAAGCAAGTGGTTATTGGAGATAAGAGTCTTATGGACTTTCCTGCCTGGGCTGTCTTTGAACCGCGATCCTCAGATCTCGGCCTCCTAAGTAGCTAGGATTACAGGCATGAGCCACTGGTGCCTGGCCCAATCTAGATAATTTTATCTCACTGTTCTATCATGTGTAAAGTGGGTATAATATCTGTTTTATATTAATATTATAAAGATTAAATGGAAGAACATATGTCAACTATTTAGAAGAATGACTTGAAAATAGTACTCAATAAATGTCTATTACTGTTATTATTTTTGCTGATTTTCTCCAAGCACCTGGAAAATTTTAGCAGCAATACTACTGCTGGTTTTTCCCCACCTGATCATGGGGCTTGAACTCAGGGCCTGGGAGCTGCCCGAGATGCTATGCACTCACAGCTAGCGCTCTACCATTTGACCCACATCGCCACCTCCAGCTTTTTCTGAGTAGTGTATTGGAGATAAAAGTCAGAGACATTTCTGCCTGGGCTGGCTTTGAACTGCAAACCTCAGATCTCAGCATCCTGAGTAGCTAGAATTACAGGCATCAGCCATCAGCACCTGTCTATTAGTACTGATTTTTGTTTTATTTTATTTATTTATTTTGGCAGTCCTGGGGCTTGAACTTAGGGCCTGAGCACTATCCCTGAGCTTCTATTGCTCAAGGTTAGCACTCTACCACTTGAGCCATAGTGGCACTTCCAGCTTTTTCTGTTTATGTGGTACTTAGTAATCAAACTCAGGGCTTCATGCATGCTAGGCAAGCACTCTAACACTAAGCCACATTTACAGCCCCTATAACTACTGATTTTTAAGTTGAACAATAACTTGAAAAAGGCAGAAGGAAATACTCAGTTAATTTGCATTAAATTTTATTTGCAAGACAAACCTAAAAATTATGTCTACAATTGAAATGCATATCTATTTTCCTCATTGCATGAAATACCTTATATTTTTGAAATGCAAAACCCTGCAGTAATATCTTAGAAGCTACAACATATACCATAAAAATACATTTAGGATATATATATATATAATTATTACTCAGTTCATTACACAAGAATATATCTGCTTTGAGCTATCATATTTATAAGAAATTATGATATCTATTAAAATAATAATTTTGCTTTAATATTACATACATTTACAATTAAGAATGAAAAACCACTATGGGCTCATATAAAATTGCAACCTTAGATATCATAAACTCCAATTATGCTAAGATAGTAGTTTTCAATATAGCCAAGGAATAATTTAAAGGATTATATAGATGTTTAATTTCATGTACCTGCAGTTGTTCTAGCTTTGGAAGCAGGAGGGAAAATGTGGTCACAGAAACGAAATTAGTTCAATCAAAGTTGGCTTCATATAGGGAGAAAAATGCATTGTAATTCATACGCAAAAGCAGAAAGCCTATGAGATTCTCCAACTTCAGTTTCTTTCTTTCTTTTTTTTTTTTGGGTCCAGTCGTGGGGTCTGAACTCAGGGCCGGGGAGCTGTCCCTCAGCTCTTCAGCTCAAGGCTAGCGCTCTACCACTTGAGCCACAGCGCCACTTCTGGCTTTTTTCTTTTTGCTTATGTGGCGCTGAGGAATCGAACCCAGGGCCTCTGGCATGCAAGGCATGCACTCTACCACTGAGCCACCTTTCCAGCCCCTCCAACTTCAGTTTCCCTGGCCATATGCTGCATTATTTTAAAATAGAACAATGAAACAATGAATCAACACACACACGCACACACACACACACACACCCTGTGCTAATGAGATAGAATGCCAGAAAATAGACCTCATCTAAATAAAAGAGTAAAATTCAGTATGAATTGGAAATGGTTTGTTTTTACTTTGTTTCTTACTCTTTTTGCTGTTTATCAAAAATTTTGTAACATCAAGTCTGCAATTTGGAACTTTGTGTTTTCTAGCCTTAAGTTCCTGTAATAGATCGGATCTTGGATAAACGGAAAAAGCCCCTCTTAAAAGGTAACTGACTAACACAAAATAGAAAATGTTCTCCCATAACACAAGAAAATAGAAAACCATCATATCATTAAAGTAGCTAAGCCTAATAGGAAGAATGCTAAGATCATTATACAAAACTAAACAAAACAAAATGATCCCAAAATTAATTAATCTTTTCTTCTTTTTTCAGCACTGGAGACTAGGACATTCTGCAGATTAGGCAATCATTCTATGCTTGAGCTATACTCTCAGATCACAAACCTCAGATCACTGAACACAAATGCACTAAAAATAAAAAAGAACCTATGTTTTCTCACTTCAATTGGCATTAAAATCCATAGTTTGCTTAAAGACTAAATGTTAAACGTAGGGGTGAAAAAAGCTAGGAGATGGTCACAGAGACACATTTCTAGAAATAAAACCAGTGAGTATTTAAAGGCAGCAAAAATTACACTTGCCAAAAATTAAAATTACAATAATAAATCAGCATACTATTAGAGAACTTCAGCATTAAAATTTACCCACTGTTCTTTTAGCTACTAAAATCTAATGAAATATAAATAAAAGCACATAATCTATCATTTAAGTATGAAGTTAAAATCTATCTTAAATTGGTATGCAATGCTTATCTTTATCAGCCCTGATCTTTTTTTTTTTGTTTTTGGGTCGGGTCGTGGGCCTGAAATCTGGGCCTGGGCGCTGTCCCTCAGTTCTTTAGCTCAAGGATAGCTCTGTACCACTTGAGCCACAGCACCACTTCTGTTTTTTTTTTCCTGCTTATGTGGTGCTGAGGAATCGAACCCAGAGCCTCATGCACGCAAGGCAAGAGCTCTACCACTGAGAGCCACCTTCCTAGCCCAAGCCCTGTTCTTTTAAACAAGTAAAAATCATTAATACCATACCTGTGAATCCCTGAAGTACATCTCATATTGCTGTATCATCTGTCTGCTAATCAGGCTCCCATGATAAACCACAACATTAATATCAGTCCACGTACGAAATTCTCTCTCCCAGTTTGCAATGGTAGAAAGAGGTGCAATAATCAGGAAAGGTCCTTTTAAGCCAGTCAGAAGGATTTCATGGAGGAATGTAATTGATTGAATGGTTTTCCCAAGACCCATTTCATCTGCTAAAATGCAGTTTCGCCTGAAATAAACAAATATCAATGTACACATTGGGTTTTTCTGTAAACTACAATGTTTTTAAAGACATACAAAATAAGCAAAGATCCAATTAAAATGTTTGCATTTATAAAACAAAAGTTGCTGAAGTGCAGAGTAAGTTAAAACTATGTTTATTATGATCCTGTAGAGGGAAAACTAAAGATTTTTGTAGCTCCAAATAAAGATATGGCACATTAAGTATCTGATTTTTTTAAAAAAATGGTAAAAAGGCATTGGTAAAATAAATATTATTTATTCAGGAAGCATTTATTAAATACCTTCTATTATCTCAGGACAGTATGAGAAGATGGGATACAAAAGAAATAGAACATGTTCTCTGCCTTCCAGGGGAGCTTGTATCTATTAGAGAAGCAGACATGCAAATACATAAATAAATAATCATGCTTTGTGCTACTGTAGAAGCACAAATACACTATTGGTTTTCTACCTTGGCTGTGCATTAGAAGAGCCTACAGAGCTTGAAAAAAAAAAACCAGATAACCAGGTCTCTCCTCTATTTTCTGATTTAATATGTATGAATTAAGATAAAATAAATTATAATTTTTAAATAAACTTTACAGATGGTTATGATATGTGGCTTGAGAAGAAGAATCATAATGAAATTCATTATGGATATTGAGAGAGGTAAGTAAAAAACTGACTAGAATAAATGAGAGAATAACTCTTCAGTCAAGTTCAGTTATGAGATGGATTCTGCCAAAGGACAAAGCAAAGATGCAAAAGGGTAAAAATCATGTCCAACTGGGGGAACAAAAGCCTGATTAACCTTGTGAGGAGGGAAAGGTGAAGAGAGATGAGATTAACTTAGTAAGTAGGCATGATAAGTTAAAGAGGGTAGATACCATTTTTTTTAACACAACTGGAAGCATTGACAAATCTTAAAAATAAATGCAATAAGATGAGATGACTAGATAGAAATGAGTAATTGGTAATTAATGATTATACTGAAGGAAAGAGAAGTTGTGGACATTTGGACTGATAGGGAAGGAGTAAAAGACAGAACTTAAGTCAGAGTTAATCCTCAATTCGAATGAATTGGCCATAGTCACTGACTTGATGTATGGAGTGGAGGATGACAGATTTCAGTTTGGGTAACTAAATAAACTGTATTATTAACCAGGATGGAAAATATGGAGGAAGAGCAAGTTTGATATAGAAGAAAAGGAAACTGGTAAGATTAATTTGGAATCTTCCATGTTTAAAGAATTGCTAAGGCAGAAATTCAAATACTAAGAGGCAAAAAGAAATATGGGCCCAGAGATCAAAATCTTACTTAGAGATAACAAGTATAGAACCATTAACATATTATTAGGAAGTGAAGGAATGTATACAGTGTAGGCAATATACCTGAGGGAAAACAAACATAATCTGAGACCTAAAGGTTAAAACCTGGTGTAAGAAAAAGTGACATTTGCCGGGCGCTGGTGGCTCACGCCTGTAATCCTAGCTACTCAGGAGGCTGAGATCTGAGGATCGCAGTTCAAAGCCAGCCCGGGCAGGAGAGACCGTGAGACTCCTATCTCCAATAAACCACCAGAAAACCGGAAGTGGCGCTGTAGCTCAAGTGGTACAGCGCTCGCCTTGAGCTGAAGAGCTGAGGGACAGCGCTCAGGCCCAGAGTTCAAGCCCCACGACCGACAAAAAAAAAAAGAAAAAGTGACATTTAAATGATAGACAAAATAGGATCCTACAGATACTGAACAGTCACAGGAATACTGCAGAGCTTGGAGAATCATAGTGGAAACTGTTACTAGTTAGAGTAAGGAGGAAGTTTAAAAGAGGAAGGAGGGGTAATTCCTCTCCAATAAAACAGAGTGTAAATTAGAGCTAAAGAATATAGTAAGGAATGGAAAATTAAGTTTCATATGAGAGAATAAAATTCAGACTGCAACAGGTTCAAAAACAATTAGAGATGAAAAAATGGTGAGAGCTACTACAAGCTACTGTACCTAGAAATTTCCTTAAGAAATTACAAAGAGAACCTGAGGTAACTAGAAGGAAAAGCAGAGGCACAAATTAATTTTCTATTTTCATTTTATAGACAGGTTAACTCCATTTGCTTGCTAACTGAAGAGATAGTAACAATCTTTAATAATGGTTTGAAGACATATAAGAGAAGAATGGCTGGAGATGTGGTTCAGCAGTTGAACAACTAACCAGCAAGCGTCAGGTCCTGAGTTCAAACACCAGTATGGCCAAAAAAAAAAAAAAAAAGAACAAAAACAAACATAAAAAGAAGACAGGGAGTGAATGAAGAATAAGCAGTAGTAGTGGTAACTGAATTCAGTGAAGCTCTGAAAGACAGAACAAGACAAATATATCAAGAATCCAAGAGAGAGTTGAGATCTAGTGATTCATGCTACAATACTAACTACTCACAAGACTGAGATATAAGGATTGAATTTTGAAGCCAGCCTAAGCAGCAAAGTCCAGGAGACTCTAATTTACAATTAACCATCAAAAGTCAGAAGTGGAGACTTGGCTCAAGTGGTAGAATACAAATAAGCGTGAAAAGGCTGAGGTAAGGGTTCAAAATCTACATCACTGAATTCAAGACCTTAAACCAGTATGGAAAAAAAAAAAAGACAGACAGACAAAAAGGAAGGAAGGAAGGAAGGAAGGAAGGAAGGAAGGAAGGAAGGAAGGAAGAAGGAAAGAAGGAAGGAAAAAAAAAGCGAGGAATCATGATGAAGCTCATTACATAACACCTAATATATACAAGTCCCTGAATTCGATCCCTATCAGGAAAAAGAAAAAAAAATTAAGGTGGCATGATTGAACTTGGTCCTGAGTAAGAATTATTTTGAATTCTATCATGAGATTAGAAGCAAAGGTATAGATGGAGATATAATTATAGGCTTGGATGTGCAAACAGTGAAGAATTTTTAAATATTTGAAACCTATTTTCCTGTTTCGCTATGAAGCAGTCAAACAAAATGTGTAAAAAGGACAGGACTATGATAAAACATTGAAAGTTTAAAACAAACAATGTAGAAAATGGGACATGGTAATGATTTAAAAAAAAAGACCAATTTTTAAAGGATTTGTTACTTTACATGGAAGATTCTTTTGGGAAAATGTAAACCAGAGGGAAGAGCACTGTATGGGCTTGTCATCACGTCATCTAATTGGGCCCAACAAATCACCATCACTAAGAAAAATGATTTTGAATAAAACTATAATCAAATTTTGCTATTATTCTAAGTAACAGTGATCTCATTTGCTCTTTCATATATTCTACTACTTTTCTCAATTGAGATACTACTTTTTACTTCTTTTGAAGTTATCTTTTCATCTTAATGAAGAACTTGAGATATAGTCTATAAAGTATTTTTAACAACTTGGAAAATAAATTATAATAAATGGGTTATTATGTTCCTACAATTTTATTTTTTATTCCTTATTAATTACTGACTTCATCAGAGACTTAAATAATAGAAATCTAAGGAGGGTATTGTGGCCCATAGTTATATTCCCTGCACTCAGAAGTCTGAGGCCAGTGGGTCATGAGTTTATGGCCAACTCAGGTTGAATAACAAGATTCAATGTAAAAAAGGGAGGGAAAGAGACAGGGATAGACAAAGACAGAGACATTGATATATATCTTCTTTTTACAGATATATAACATGTTCACAGTTTAACAACAGAACCAAATATCAAGTGTTGATATAAAGTAGTATAAGTTTGAAAAGATGAAAACCACTTTATAATATAGAGATGTTTTAGATGTTTGAAATTTAATTATTAAATCTAAAGACATATTACCAATACACATTTAAAAGAAACAAATATAATTGACATCCTAACTTGAAATTTATGTATTTGTGCAAAGTAATTTCACTTTAAATAATGAAAATATAGCAACATCTTTACCTACTTTACTAAATACATTGTGGTACATTAAAAACAAAAAAAAAGACACACTAAAAATATTCCTGTTAGGATATACCTACATACCTATTGTACCAGTTGAACAAGAGCCAGTTAAGACCTTCTAGTTGATATTCCCTGAGTTGATTCCCATTTTTATAGTCCCTGGATTGATCTATTTTCTTCCAAATATTAGAGGGAGGACGATCCTTTGAGGAAAAAGGGAAGAATAAAAATTAAAATTAAAAAAAAGTGAATGATGTACATCATATGTCTAAAATTTCCATTCAACTTCCTCAGGGCCAAAAGCTTTCCTTTAACATTTTTCCAATATAGCCAAGTGCCAGTGGCTCAATCCTGTAAGCCTAACCACTCAGGAGACTGGGATATAAGGATCAAGGTTCAAAGTTAGTGAGGACAGGAAACTACTGAAGAGTCACATCTACATTAACTACCAAAAAAAAAAAAGCACCAAAATACCGGAAGTGGCGCTGTGGCTCAAGTGGTAGAGCGTTAGCCTTGAGCTGAAGAGCTGAGGGACAGTGCCCAGGCCCAGAGTTCAGGCCCTTCGACCAGACCAAAACAAAAAACAAAAAAAAAAAAAGCGCCAGGTATGGAGCTGTGGCTTGCGTGGTAGAATGCCTTGAGCTTTTAAAAAGTTCAATGATAACACCCAGACCCTGAATTCAAGCCTCCCCAAATAAATAAAAGCACCAAAAAACAAACAGTTCAAAGCAGAAAAATCAGTGAGACTTTTTTTTTGGGTGGGGGTCGGTGGTGGGGTTTGAACTCTGGACCTAAGCGCTGTCCCTTAGCTCTTCAGCTAAAGGCGAGCACTCTACCACTTGAGCCACAGTGACACTTCCGGTTTTCTGTTGGTTTATTGGAGATAAGAGTCTCATAGACTTTTCTGCCCAGACTGGCTTTGAACCCTGATCCTCAGATCTTAGCCTCCTGAGTAGCTAGGATTATAGGCATGAGCCACCAGTGCCAGGCTCAGTGAGACTCTTATCTACAACACTAACAGCTGTGGAGCAGGGGCACAAATGGTAGAGTGGTAGCCATGAGCAAAAAAACTCAGGTACAATGCCAAAGTCCTGAGCTCAAGCTCAAGGACCAGTACCAAAAATAAAAATAAAAGAAATCTTAATGCAAGAGGTGTGGTGCCTAGTGAGCATAAGGCCATGCCTTCTAACTGTATTGCACCAAATATTAAAAAAAAAAAAACAAAAAATAACCCTCTATGCCTTTTAGTATACGGTGTAATAAGAAAATTTCTCAAAACTTCTAAAATAAAATTTACTCTTAATTTTAAAAAAATTGGTGGTAGTGAGTGGCACTGGATTTGACCTCAGATCGTTATACTTAATAGGCTTCACTTGAATCACACCTTCAGTCCTTAAAAATTAAAATTAGGGCTGGGAATATGGCTTAGTAATAGAATGCATGCATAGCATACATGGAGCCCTGGGTTCGAATCCTTAGTGCACATAAAATGAAAGAGCTGGAAGTGGCACTGTGGCTCATGTGGTAGAGTACTAGCCTTGAGCAAAAAGAGCTATGGGATAGTGCCCAAGCCCTGAGTTCAAAACCCACAACCAGGATGGGGAAAAAAAAAGTGAAAACTAAGATCATATTGAAAATGAAAGACTGAATGTCTCCTCGTAACATCAACAATAAGGCAAAGATTTCCACTAGGATACCATTTTCAACATGTTACAGTAAGCTCTAAAAACAATAATCCAATATGTAAAACATTGACGTCACTGAGACTGGGAAGAACTGAAATTATTCTATATTTATAAAAGATATGCCTGTGGAGAATCTATTTTTTAAAAGGTGTTGGAAGCTAGGTGGTAGGAGCATCAGCCAATGAGCAAAAGCATCAGATCCCAAGGATGAGTCCCCATCTCAGCCAAAAAAAAAAAAGAAAGAAAGCAAAAAGTAAAAAGGTAAAATAACTAGTGACTCTGGCAAGGTTGTGTGTGTATAAAAGTCATTGATAAACCTCTATAAAAGTAACTTATAAACTTGGTGGTTCTCACATATAATCCAAGCTACTGAGAAGGATGAGATCCAGGGAACTGCAGTTAGAAGCCAGCATGTGCAGAAAAGTCTATGAGATTCTATCTCCAAAAAATAGACACAAAACAAAAATAGCAAAAGCCATGGCTAAAGTGGCAGAACTGTATCTAATAAGCTTGAGGCCCTGAGTTCAAACTCCATAAATGGAGAGAAAAAAAAGCAGAACAATCATAAATAAAGTAAAAAAAATAACTATAACACATTTAGGAATAACCAATAAGTGGGATTAAAACTATGGTGAAAAAAATAATGAGGTAAATGAATAGAGATATATAGAAATATATCTCATTTGTGACCTGAAAAAACACTGCTAATTATTCCCCAATTGAAGAACTAAGTGCTGTTCCAAGGAGATATATACTCCATCCCATGAAATACTTGAAAATAAAGCCAGTCATAAGTGACTCATACCTGTAATCCTATCTACTCAGGAGACTGAAAGTTGAGGATAGCAGTTCAAAGCCAATATAGGCAGGAATGTCCATGAGAATCTGATCTCCAATTAAACACAAAACACATAACACACATACACACACAAAAGGAAAGTGGAGCTGTGGCTCAAGTGGTATAACTAGTCTTCAGCACAAAACCTTAGGGATATTACCCAGGTCCTGAGTTCAAATATGAGGACTAGCACATAAACAATCACACGTGCATCACACACATACATACACACACACACAAACTTAAGAGTACTTCCTCAGTAAACTATACTCTTTAGAGAGTTCTGTTCAGTAAAACAAATACAATTAGTTTGGGTCACAAACTAATTTACAGAATCTCAAAAAATATGTTATTTAATTTACATGCTATTGTATTTAGCAAAAGTAGATGACAAAAATCAAAATCACAAGTCAAGTGCTGGTGGCTCACGCCTGTAACCCTAGCTACTCAGGAGGCTGAGATCTGAGGATGAAAGTTGAAAGACAGCTCAAGGGCTGTGAATATGGCTCAGTGGTAGAGTGCTTACATGAAGCCCTGGGTTCCATTCCTCAGTACCCCATAAACAGAAAAGGCTGGGAGTAGAACTGTGGCTCAAGTGGTAGAGCACTAGCCGTGAGCACAGAAGGCTCAGGAATAGAGCCTAAACCCTGAGTTCAAGCACCAGGTCTGGCAAAAATGAGAGAGAGAGAGAGAAGAGAGAGAGGAGAGAGAGGAGAGAGAGGGAGGGGGAGAGAGAAAAGAGGGAGAGAGGAGAGAGAGGGAGAGTGGGAGAGATGGAGAGAGAGAGAGAGAGATGGTCAAGGCAGCTAGTCTGTGAAACTCTTGATTCCAATTAACTATCAAAGAACTAGAAATGGAGCTGTGGCTGAAAATGCTAGAGCATTATCCTTGAGTGAGGAAGCTCAGGACAATACCCAGGTCCTTAGTTCAAGACCCATAACCTACCAAAAACTAAAGTAGACAGACAGACAGACAGACAGAAAATACCCACACAGACAAGTGCAAAAGAGTGTAAGTTGAGGGGCTGGGAAGGTGGCTCAGTGGTAGAGCACTTCCCTTGCATGCCAGAGGCCCTGGGTTCGATTCCTCAGCACCACATAAGCAAAAAGAAAAAAGCTGGAAGTGGCGCTGTGGCTCAAGTGGTAGAGCGCTAGCCTTGAGCTGAAGAGCTGAGGGACAGAGCTCAGGCCCAAAGTTCAGGCCCCATGACCGGACTACCCCCCCACCAAAAAAAAGAATGTAAGTTGACATTAAGCCTACTAAAATATAGCACTAAGATTTATAAAGCTGACTAAAGCTCTTACCAAATGTCTTGTGTCAGGCCTTGCAGCTTGCAATTGTTCAAACTCTTCTATTTTTGCAAGATCTACATCTTCTTTTAATTCCCATGTACTATCTTCATATGGCAATGAGCACCACTTGACCAAATAGTAAATGACAGGCTAAAAAGAAATTTATTTTACCATTTTGAAAAAGAGAATATAGATTAAATAGATGTCAGTTAAAATAGTTTAAATGTAACAATATAGATCGAAAACAAATTTTAACATCTTAAGACTTAACTGTTTTTTAAAGAGTACTATACTTTAATAGTTCTTTTCTTTTCTTTTTTTTTTTGTCGGTCGTGGGGCTTGAACTCTGGGCCTGGGCGCTGTCCCTCAGCTCTTCAGCTCAAGGCGAGCGCTCTACTACTTGAGCTACAGCGCCACTTCCGGTTTTCTGGTGGTTTATTGGAGATAGGAGTCTCACGGTCTCTCCTGCCCGGGCTGGCTTTGAACTGCGATCCTCAGATCTCAGCCTCCTGAGTAGCTAGGATTACAGGCGTGAGCCACCAGCGCCCGGCTAATAGTTTTTTTCTTTAACTTTATGTATATTTTTATCAAATATTTACCTCACCAGTATCTTTATCTTCACAAAAAGAGACTTCTAATACTCTGTCTACTTCAACGTAGTCTGGATTAAATGGTTCTTCTTCCATCTAAATAAAATTAAAAAGTAACTTAATTGAAATATACAAAGATGTGAAAAGATAACAATAAAGATACATTTACTGGTGTTTTAGTACAGAATATACAACCAGTTTAATTCCAATGAAATTTTAAAAAAATTCTTTTTCAGTTTAATTTCTAAAAGAAATTTCAACCCAACTCATTTGCTCCTCCACCTATTCTTCTTCTTGTATTTTCTTACTTGATAATGGAAATATAGTGCATTTCCATGTTCCACAGTGAATTACCTAAGACAATAATCTTAGATTCTATCTCTTTCTTTAATCCCCCACATCTAATAAATCACCAACTTGTGATTTATCTATTTTTATTTTATTTTATTTTTTTGGGTAAGACTGGCTTTCCTCATGTTGCCAAGGCTGGACTCAAACTCATGATCTGAAGCCTCAGACTAACTGAGTTACAAACATCTGCTACTGTGCTTGACTTTGTAGATTCTCCTGTTCCTTTTTCTTTGTTGTTGTTACTGCGTATCAAACCCAAGCACTTATACAGGAATAACAAATGGTCTAACCTTAAGCTCAATTTCCAACACAAACTCTACTTTTTTTTTTCTTCCATCTTCTCCAAACAACAGAAAGGACAGGCAAACCACAGAAAACACCGTTGTCATTCTCCTTGTGGTGTCTTTGTGTTTTTGATTAGAAAGGAGCAGAAATCTCCCGTGGAGATGAGGAAAACAAGCTCTTTATTTTTATTTTTTTATTGTAAAGATACTATACAGAGGGTTACAGTTACATGAGTGAGGTAATGAGTATACTTCCTCTTGAACTTTGTTACCCCCTCCATTGCACAAACTCTACTTTTAACTACAACTGAAACTCATTTCTTCTTCCCTGTTCTCATTGCTGCACCACTTTGTATATGGACCTTCAAGTACTAATGTCATCCTATAATTACTCCCTTGTCTTTAATATGTTTTCATGTTGTCCCCAGAGCAATTCTTCTCAAATGCAAATTTTATATAATACTGCCTTGCTTGAAACCCTTCACTGATTCTCTCTTTTGAAGGACTAAAATGAAAGCAGTATTCGTGGAAACAAACAGAACCTTTCTTTTCTCCAGCTTCATCTCCTATTGCTTTCAACAACTTTACCCAGTTTCTATGCACCCAAGAAACAAGAACATGTTTTATGTTTTTTATGTTCAAGAACATGTTTTTCATGTTCTACCACAGCTTAGTTTTATCATAAATTTTCTCTTCTGACTAAACTGCTTTTCCTTCTCTTGTCTGCTTGGGCATTTTACACTCATTCTTGAGAGTCTTACTTTCAACAGCTATCTTTCTTGGCTGTATTTGTTGGCCTCTTCTACTAGTGTGCACTCCATAGCTCTGTCTTTACTTCTCTTCACAATCTTAAACTTCCCTTGAATAATCTAATATGTCCACAGTCTTATATAAGACAGGCTGATAACAAGGCCTAGCCCAACATGAGGGTAAGAATATGGTACCTTAAGAATCAAAAAAGATCAAGCATAGGGGGCTCACGCTTGTGATCTCAGCTAATTAGGAAATGGAGAACAGAAGGCCACTTTGATGCCAGTCTGGGCAAAAAGTTAGTAAGACCCCCATCTCAACAAAGTAGGCATTGTGGTATGTGCATGTTGGTCCTTCTTAAAAAGAAAAAAAAATCCCAAAAGATCCTATCTAAAAAATAGGCTAAAATGAAAAGAGCTGAAAACACCAGCACTGACCCTGCCACGCCACAATAATAAATAAATGAATAAGTCCATGTACAGAGGCACATGTGGTAATCCTAGCAAAAGTCTGAAGCAGGAAAGCACAGGGTTTCCAAATTAATCTGAGTTAAATTACATAATGGAACTGTTTTAAACAATAAAAAGAAACTGATAGCTCTATTAAGTGATAATAGTTTGTGGTTGGTTTATAACAAATATGTATATATTCAAAGTGCACACTTAATTATAAGCATTCTGTCAAGTACAACTCAATAAAAAATAAAATTTAAAGATTTCCATAGTTTAAAAATGAAATCTAGGGCTGGGAATGTAGCTTAGTGGTAGAGTACATGCCAAGCAGCATGCATGAAGCACTGGGTTTGATTCTTTAGTATCACATAAACAGTAAAAGCCAGAAGTGGCAGGGTGGCTCAAGTGGTAGAGTGCTAGCCTTGAACGAAAGAAGCTCAGTGAAAGTACTCAGGCTCTGAGTTCAAGCCCCAGATAAGGGAAAAAAAAAATCTACAGGGTAATTATTTATGCTGTACCTGAGTCAGGCAAGAAAAATTAAGTCTTCATAAAAACTTACATGTTATTAAGTACTTCTAAGATCTTTAGCTTATTAAGGATATTCATGTGATAGTAGGACAAAGGTTCATGAGGATCTCTCAGCATGGATGAACTGCTCGGACATTAGAATCATCACTTTTTTTTTTTGAGGATTTTAATAAGTACAAAAGGACTTAAAGAGTAGTTTTGTAGAAAAATTTGACAGGCACCATCTTAATCCAGTGATCAAAGTTAAGATATATCCTGGTTAGGGTTTTAAACTACTGGGCAAATAGATATCTGATATGATTCACAAAGTTAAACTGTTGTTTTTGTGGCATTCTTTTTTAAAATATGCATGTCAACCATGAGAAAGCAAAAACTAGAAAAAATCTATAGAAGTGTATTTTTAAATGTTTAAGAAATGAAAATCAAAGATTAACAAAAGATAAAATATAAAACATAAGCTATTGCACTAAATGATTGAACAGATATACATACATTCTTTTTAACTATGAAAAAATGGTAGAAAAATCAATGAACTATGAATAACATCTACAGACAAAATATTTTAGATCAATGCTAATTCTATTACTTTTATGTAAGTAATGTATTATATGTTTTCTTTACAAAATAAGTTGAGTGGCTCAAGCATACAACTGTGAGCATTGTGTCCAGAGATAGATACCCTAAGTCAGATAAAAAAAAAAAAGTTACCCATAATGGGGTGGGTCATACTAGCTATTCAAACAGATTAAAAAGGAGAACCATGGTCCATGCCACCCAAGTAAAAGACCTCATTTGGAAATTACCAAAACTGGGCCAAGCACCACTAGCTGGTTCCTATATAATCCTGCTATTAAGATGGCTGAAAACAGAGGACTTCAGTTTGAAGCCACCCCAGGCAGGAAAGTCCTTGAAAACCTTATCTCAAATTAACTTCAAAAAGGCTGGAACTGAAGGTATATGGCTCAAGTGGTAGAGTCTTATCTCTGAGCAAAAAAAATCAGGGATAGCAGCACCCAGGTCCTGAGTACAAGCCGTAGGAGCAGGAGCACACCAGCATGCACATGCACACACATACACAGCAAAAACAAAAAGGTTAGGACTATGGCTAAAGCAGTAAATCACCTGCCTAGCAAGTGCAATGGAGGCCCTGAGTTAAAACTCCAGTAACTCTAAAGGAGAAAAATGAAAGACAGAAAAGAAAAAGGATGGAAATACAAAGCATTCGTAAATGTTTTTAAAAATTGGAAAGTATAGTTAAAATGTATGTGGGATGGGGAAAAACAAGTCGTTTAAGGATACAGGTGGACCTGTTACAACAATGAGAAGTACAAGGTCATGTCGAAAATGAGCTTTACAACGCTGGTGCAGCGGGGGGGGTGACTGGGGGGGGTGATTGAGTGGTGAGGGGGTAGGGGGAGGTAGGGAAGGGATATGAAGGGTAAACAAAGGAGGAGGCTGCAATGCTTCATAAGAAATGTCCGCATTATTCTGCCCATGTAATTGTAACCCCTCTGAATAGTATGTTCACAAAAAAAAATTTAAAAAAATGTATGTGGAAATTTGTTTTACTATTTTTAAAACTGTTTTGTGAAAATAAAGTTTAAAAGTTTTCAACTGAAAAATTTACATGGGGGAAAGTACCAGTGGCTCACGCCTATAATCCTAGCTAGTCAAAAGGTTGAGAACTGAGGAGCAAAATTCAAAGCCAGTCCAGGCAGAAAGGTCTTTAAGACTCAAATTGAGCAGTAAAATCCTGAAATAGAGCTTTGACTGAAGTGGAAGAGCACTAATTTTAAGCAAAAGATCAGAGAAAATGCCTGGGCCCTAATTTCAAGCTCCAGGATGAGCACACACACACAAAAAACTGGGGGGAGGGGCTGGTAATGTGGCTTATAGGTAGAATGTTTGCCTAGCATCCATGAAGCACTGTGTTCAATTCCTCAGTACCACATAAACAGAAAAGGCCAGAAGTGGCACTGTGGCTCAAGTGGTAGGGTGCTAGCCTTAAGCAAAAGAAGCTCAGGTATAGTGCCCAGGCCCTGAGTGCAAGCCCCAGGACTGGCAAAAAAAAAAAAAAAAAGCCAGAGGCTCATGACTAGGATTACCTAGTTACTCAGGAGGCTGAGATTTGAGGATCATGGTTCAGAGCCAGCTCGGGCAGGAAATTAACCACCAGAAAACTGGAAATGGAGCTGTGGCTCAAGTGGTAGAGCACTTGCCTTGAGCAGAAGAGCTCAGGAACAGCACCCGGGCCCAGATTTCAAACCCCACAACTAACACAACAACAACAACAAACCACCAAAACTGCCTTAATAAAGGCTATATCAGAGAAAGGCAAATAAATATTTTTTCAATGATGTCCTATATACGCACGTTCTAAACATTGATGAAAAATATGGAATATATTTCATATATAATAAAAATCATTTTTTCATTTATTTGCTATTTCCTATAGTTTGAATATCTAGCTCAGAAATTGTACCTTTAAGACCAGTATTAAAACATGCTAATTTAAAAACAAAAGCATTATGTATTATTATGACTTATTAGTGTCCTTGTCTCAGCTAGTTTCCAAGCTAATACTAGGAGGTGAAAAACTATATGCAAATAGCAGTTATTTTCAAATATCAGCCTTGGAATCTAAGAAAGTTACATTAAATTAGATAAATAATACTACAAGTATTCTGAGTCCAACACATAGAAGTCCACATTCTTACATCTGCAAAAAAATGTGCTCTTTGTGCTTGTCTCAATTTGAATCGTTTGATTTTCTGCTGAATCCTTTTATCTTTCAACAGCTGCTGTTCTGTGGCCCATTCACAGTGAAGATAGGAGCTAAAATTTTTATGAAAGTTACGTATTAGAATACAGAAAATGATGTTTCATAAGATGTACATTAATTATTATAACATGCAAAATATACTTTCACCTTTAGAAATAGGTAGTTCAATAAATCATTTAATTTCAGGAGATTTCATGAAAATTCTTAAAATATAGACTATGATAGCTGTATCCTAAGAAGATTGTACTCTGAAAGTCTACAATTTGCAATAGAGAAGCAGAATGGTGAATAGACCAAAAGCATAAGGGCAAAATACAATTTAAGTTTTGTTTTAACATCATAATGATTTTGTCACATTCAGAAAGCTAACGTACTTCAAATACAAGGTAATTATATATAAAAACATACACCAAATTATATAGTAAAACTAGAAAACGTATTAAAATATAAGTAATATCCTTATAAGTAGCAACTCATGTAAATTTACCTATGTCCAAGAAGGAAATGCAGATTCAAAAGTTAAATCATCACATTGTATACAGCTGATAAAATACTCTAAAACTTGTAGATATTTAACAAAAAAGGATGAATAAAATCTAACATTCAAAAGGCAAATGCAACGAGTAATGCCTATTATTTCTAAAAGGGTATTTTTATAAAGATTTCCTTCATTTTGACAGTTTCTGTTAAAAACCATTAAAACCACTGGTCAAATCAAGTCTTTGTACCTTTTAACTATTTTAGAAATTATAATTGTGGGCTGGGAAGTTGGCTCAGTGGTAGAGTGCTTGCCTTGCATGCCTGAGGCCCTGGGTTCGACTCCTCAGCACCACATAAGCAAAAAGAAAAAAGCCGGAAGTGGCGCTGTGGCTCAAGTGGTAGAGCGCTAGCCTTGAGCTGAAGAGCTAAGGGACAGCACCCAGGCCCAGAGTTTAGGCCCCACGACCAGACCCCCCCCCAAAAAAAAGAAAAGAAATTATAATTGTTAGAAATAAACTTCTAAAATGAAAATTAATTAATTTTAACTTACATGTTTACATATTAAATATATTAACTTATTTTTAACTGAATATCATCCTTTAATTTTTTAACTGAATTACTTACTAGTTTTTATATTTCACAAAATATTCTTCTGTATCAATCGTCACTCCAGGTGATATCTAGGAATATAAAATTAGTAATTATTATCTCAAACATGACACAAAAAATAAAGTATAAAGTATAAGGTACCATTACTTACTTCCTTTTTTACAATTCTAGAAGATAGTATTTTATCTACAATTGCAGCATCTTCTTCACTTGGATTTTCCTAGAAAAGGGGGGAAAATGTATGATAGAACAGATTCTGAAATATTTTAGTTACTACTCTGTTTATGAATAAACTAAATAAAATTAATTTAGCACATGTGCTGAGCACTACACTAAAGATTAGGAATATTTTTAAAATGGAAAAAATGTGTCATTTTTGTTACCATCATCACTATACTTGACACATTCTGTCTTGTAATGTACTACGTATTGGTATAAGCACTATATTAACTAATTTAATCCATTACCACTTCCATTATTGCCTCTACTATTATCATCACTGTACAAAGTAGAATACTCAAACACAGATAGAATAAGTACTTCCTAAGATTTCGGCTAATGAATGAGTGCTTAGCTCAAAATGTAGACAGGAAAAAACTAAAAGAATTATAGAAAAATACATTTTAAAAGGCATACAAGTAAAAAAATATAGCACACAGCAACTATTTTCATGATGCAAAAGACTGAATACTTTCAGAGAAATGACAGGAGATGGGACTCAGAAAATTTATTTATTTTAATTTTTTCTTTTTGGGTCTGGTTGTGGGGCCTGAACTCTGGGCCTGGGCGCTGTCCCTCAGCTCTTCAGCTCAAGGCTAGCACTCTACCACTTGAGCCACAGCGCCACTTCTGGCTTTTTTCTTTTTGCTTATGTGGTGCTAAGGAATCGAACCCAGGGCCTAAGGCAAGCGCTCTACCACTGAGCCACCTTCCCAGCCCTGGACTCAGAAAATACAAAGGGTATTCTTAACACACTTGCTTAAAAATTGCATTAATAGTTGGGTACTGGTGGCTCACATCTATAATCCTAGCTACTCAAAAGGCTTAGATTTTAGGATCTCAGTCCCAAGTCAGCCCAAGAAGACTCTGTGAGATTCTTATGTCCATTTAGCCACCATAAAGACCTGTGATTAAAGTGGTACTTAAGACTGCGAGTCTTAAGCAAAAAAGCTCAGCAACAGTGTCTAGGCCAAGTTGAAGCCACAGCACTGTGGCTCAAGTGGTAGAGCACTAGTCTTGCGCTGAAGAGCTGAGGGACAGTGCCCAGGCCCAGAGTTCAGGCCCCACAACCGAAATAACAAAAAAAAAAATTATGTAACTTGTCCCTCTATGCATCATCTTGACAATACAAAACAAAACAAAAAGAAAAAGGCAAGCCGGGCACCAGTGGCTCACGCCTATAATCCTAGCTACTCAGGAAGCTGAGATCTGAGGATCACAGTTCAAAACCAGCCTGGGGAGAAAAGTCCGTGAGACTCTTATCTCCAATTAATCACCTGAAAACCAGAAGTGGTGCTGTGGCTCAAGCGGTAGAGCGCTTGCCTTGAACTAAAGAGCGCAGGGATAGCGCCCAAACCCAGAGTTCAAGCCCCATGACCGACCAAAAAAAAAAAAAGAAGAAGAAAAAGGCAAAAACAAAACAACAAAAATTTATACTGGCTGAAGTGTTTTTAACTATAATCCTGGATATGTCTTACCACAAATAATTGTAAAGGCTGTTCACCAGGTAAAGGAGCTGAATTCTTTTTTATTTTCATAGCCCCTTTAACCTCTTCTTCAGATTGTTTTCCTTCTGTATCTTCTGCATACTTTTTTCTTTTAATTTGTCGATTAGACCTTCTTTTCTGTAATAAAAAACAAGGATCAGATTTATATAATTCATTTAAAAATCTAAATAACAAAGATTATTCCTAACCTTGATGGTCATTACATTTTCAAAATTTAACACTCATCTTTGCTTGGTTTTCTTTTAAATTAAAGAAAATTGTCAATTGCCCATGGCCACAAGTTTAATTCCTAAGGTTTTTCCTGCAATTACAAATATAAAATATTTAAAATATCAATGTTATTGTTCTTTAGAAGCTTATGAATAAATGATCTAGTGATTTAAAAAAGAAACCATTTAACAGCTTGAGTAAAATATATTTTATTTATGTATTTCCAACTGAAAAAAGTATAATCAGATGACTACTGGTAGAATAATTAATTGGGATCATAAGCCCTAAGAAATGAAAGAACATTTGGCAAGATATTTGAAAGTTTGTTTAAGGTACAATAAAAAGACTAGTGTTTTAAAATGATTATTAAATCTACCACATAACTAAATTTAAGAGATTAATTTTCTTCAATTTTCACTAATTTTATGAGCTTTCTTATAAGAAAATATTACTCTAATAAAACTAATTATTACTCTAATAAAAAACTATTACATGTAGAACATATATGGCTTTACTTACCTCCCTAAATATCTAGTTTATTTTTAAAGTATTTCAAGAATTTTTAAAAGGAAAGTTACATATTGTTTTATATTCTCACAAAAAAAATCAAAAGCTCCAGTTGGCTTGCAAAGCCCTAATGACTTAGGTTTATCAGGTTTTTTTTTTTTTTTAGTACTTCTGTAAAATTTCATTGGGTTAAAGCATCTTAGTCGACTGCTCTATTGCTCAATATTTTGTAAATCCATGTCTTCTTCCATTTTCTATGCCATTTTCTTCCATGTGTTGAATAAATCCCATGATACTCCCATAAAGGGAACCAGCATATGTTTTCCTTTGGGTTTCTGATAATGTTTCTCTGTGGGGTCTGTCTTTCATTACTTCCACAGCCATAATAAAATTGGTTTTGTCTCTGCAGTAGTATAAGGGAACACTGTTATTTATATCTAGTGAGTAAGGTGTAGTAAGATACTTTTGCCCCTGTCTCTTATGAGAAGTGCAATGGTGGGAAAAAGAAAGGGAATATGTGGTCAGCCAAATGCAGCAGACAACATTTGCCTCTGAAGTAGTTTACTTTTTAGTTATATCCTTTTAGTATGCATGAGAGGAAGAGGAAGGGGCAAAATGGAGTGGTGGAGTTGTGGGTCAGAGGTAGCAAGGTAGGTTACTGGCATGCAAAGTAAGTACTCTACCATGGAGTTGCACTTCCAGCACCTCTATTATCTATCTATCTATCTATCGGTGAGTGATCATCTGTTGGCCATAAATATATTTAAATATTCAAACACCAAAATAAATTTGTTAACACAAACATATATAGGATTTATAGTTATATAATTATATATTATGATAATATAAAATTATAATAAAAAGACTACAAGTAACTAATATGTGGTTCAAAAAAAACATTAAATATTTATGATGAGAAGGGAATCAAATGGATCCAGGCTAAAAAAAATTTAAAACTCTATTACAGGATGATGTAGATATTCAAGCATAGTTTAAAATAATAATAAACTATGGCATTTGTTATTATAACAATATTATATATTACCAATGTCTTATTATGTATACTTTCTAACTAATGATATTTGAGAATAATTCACCCCAGTTTTAGAAGACTTCATTATGTGTGGTAAGCTGTATTTTAGTTTCCTTTCTGATCACTAAGGCACCCACTGATACTTTGAAATAACTCACATGGTCTTTAAAAAATTGTGTTAAAAATCCTTCAGACTTATGAAAGTTAATGTTGAGATAACAATTGCCACTCACTATAAACTGCTTTCTTATCTTATTAAGGATTATTAATATTAAGTAGCCAAACTGATTAATTTATAAGTCCATGGGTTACAAGACTTTAGTTGACTAATTATATTCCACTTGAATATGTAGTAACACAGTAGGCAAAGCCAAATAAATATCATTCTCACAAATTATCTCAAACAACATCTCTATTAGGTTAAAAATATAAAACAAGAGCCAAGCACTGATAGCTCTCACCTGTAATCCAAACTACTCAAGAAGCTAAGATCTGAGGATCAAAATTTCAAGCCAGCCCAGGTAGAAAAGTCAATGAGACTCTTTTCTCCATTAACCAGCAAAAAAATGAAGTAGAGTTGTGGCTTATGAGGCAGAATGCCAACCTTGTGCAAAAAAATCTAAGTAAGAGCACTGAATTCAAGCCCCATCACAAAATAAAGATGTAAGTAAATAAGATCTGAATGCTGGGTGATGGTGGCTCATGCCTGTAATCCTAGCTACTCAGGAAGTTGAAATCTGAGGATTGCAGTTCAAAGCCAGCCTGAGAAGGAAAGTCTGTGAGACTTTTATCTCCAGAAAAACTGTAAGTGGTGCTGTGGCTCAAAGTGGTAGAGTACTATCCTGAGCTGAAGAGCTCAGGGACAGTGTCCAGGTCCAGGGTTCAAGCCCCATGAAAGACAAAAAAAAAAAAAAAGAAAATCTGATGTCCTCCTACTTGAGTAATGACCATTTATTCTTAAGTTTTTTCTTCATATTGTTTTAGAAAATATAATTTAAAAATAGTAATGTCAAGAGTTGGTGGCTCACACCTGTAATCTTAGCTATTCAGGAGTCTGAGATCTGAGGGTCTCAGTTCAAAGCCAGGCCAAGCAGGAAGGTCTGTGAGGCTCTTATCTCCAATAAACTACTCAGAAAAAGCTGATAGTGGCACTGTGGCTCAAGTGGTAGAGTGCTAGCCTTGAGCATAAAGAGGCTCATAGTAGCGCCCAGGCCCTGTGTTCAAGCCCCAAGATAGGCCAAAACAAAAAACAAAAAAACCCAAAAAAGTGACAAGTGGACTCTCGGTTTATTTCTATGTTTTTGAGTTTGAAAGGCTTCAACAGATTAACTAATAGCCCTCAGCATAAAGAAGTAAGAATTATGCTTTTTAATGACTACTACTTTGCTGTTCCCTACAATAATTTTACTATAATCTGCCAGAGGCATTTAAAGAAAGTTGGTCTCCAATATAGTATAATTACTCAAAACAATTAAAGTCAAAGTAAAAGAATAAATACCATATTCAAAATTCTAATTTGTCCCTTATTCTAAAGCTGTTATTTTCAAGAGTTTTAAGTCCATTGTTTCAGAAAGCTACAAGGATCTTTACCATCATTTTATTATGACACAGTTATATTGTTGTAGGTTTGTAATTACTAGAAAATATAGCCCTGTTTTATTAAAGGAACAGATGTGTCAAAGGAACCTAATATCATACTGAAAATATGGAAGAAATGTACAAGTTGTTGGCCTATACTACCATTTCATTGTCTGATAATTGCATAATGTAAAAATGGCCTGCATTAGTCTTGCAAAAATCAAACTAAAGTTTCTCAAACTGTTAAATGAAGTTTGCCTAAGTCAAGGATAACATATGACAAAAAAGCCAGGCCATATAATATTAGGAGCTTCAGTCACTGCCCTTACCTCAACTCTTGCAGCAGCCCAGGAGCCTTGAGCCACTACTCTCCAATTGGATAAGAAGCTGCATAAGGAAGAAGAAAGGCTATTCAGGGGCTTCCTGGCCCCATATTTCAACAACTGCCACCACCCCTATGGCCTACAGTAGTATTTAAAAATATTAGAAAGCAGAGGGTGGCCTGAGTTATTATGACCTTCACTAAATAGATTAAAAAAATTTAACTTTACAGGTTATTTTTAATATCCAACTATTTTAAAAGGCAAACTGTATAAGATTTATGTCTATGTTAGGGGATTTTTAATATCAGCAGTCTCCTACATCAACAGAAGCAGACCAAAAGAACTGTCTCTAGGAATGATTCAATCCATTTGTTTTGTCACTTCTATGATTTTTAAAAATCAGTATCTTTATAATTAAATTTATTTAAAAGCACTCCACAAGTGTAGGATAATATCATTAGGTACTTTTCTATGTTAAAATCCATCAAGGACTCTGTACTGTTACTTAACCTCTCAAGGTTTCAGTTTTATTACCTGAAAAATAAGGGGCAAGTACAGCATACACGTTTCCTCCCACATCTAATATTCTATGGTAAAACTACTAGGAACATATCATACTAATACTGTCTTGTAAGTTCTACTATACAATAAACTTTATGCTTACTACTAAACTACAGTGTAAACATTCAAAATAAAACATTATGCCTAGCTAAATAGTTTTGTTTTGATTCACAAAAAAAATATAATACTTACTTGAGAGTCTTGATCTTTCAATGTGTGTTGTGGCATCTGCTCTGCATCAGATATTTCATCTGAAGACTCAGTCTTTCTTTTTTGTTTCTTACCCAATGAAATAATGAGTTTGCTATTTCAAATGGAAAAGAATAATCATTAAATACTTTTTTTTTCATTTGGTCAAAGACTGGCATAAATTTTCTTTTATTTTGTATTACTTCTATGCCTAAATGAAAATGATAATTATCCTGAAATTTACTGACATTTTTCAAAACACAAAATCTATTATTATTTGTGTGTGTGCCAGTACTGGGTCGTGAACTGATGGCCTCATGTTCTTACTCAAAATTTTTTCTCATGGCTAACACTATACACTTGAGCCACAAGTCATGACTCTAGTTCTAGTTCTTTTTTACTGGTTAACTGGAGCTAAGAGTCTCTTGGATGTGGGTTTGTCTCCCTGGACAAGATCCAAACACGGATGCTCAGATCTCAGCTCCTGAGTAGCTAAGATTACAGACATGAACAACCTACATCCAGCTCATGAACTATAATTGAATACAAACCAATAGTTCATAGGAAGGAAGTCTAATCCTATTACATTAAGGTCAAATGTACCTTTTTAAGGGAAAAGTTTCAACTGACATAACTGCTAAACAATAAAAAAAAAAACTCAGATTTTAAATGAAGGATTTTTTTTTCTTGCCAGTCCTGAGGCTTGAACTCAGAGTTTCTTTTGCTCAAGGCTATTGCTCTAACACCCAAACTATAGTTCCACTTCAGGGCTTTTTGTTTTTTTTGTAGTTTATTGTCTCACCGACTTTCCTACCCCAGCTGGCTTCAAACAGCAATCCTCAGATCTCACACTCCCAGTTAGCTAGGATTATAGATGAGAGGCCAGCTGCACCTGGCTCCTTCTACTTCTTAATTACTTAACATCTTACTTCTTTCTGTGAGAAGGCAAATGACAATTCAGATGAGGGATGAAGAGTATGGTCTAAGGCTAAGGCACTGTGGATGAAAAGTGAAGAGAGGTATTTTATTGTAGAAGCAAAACTGGTAAGACTTTGCCAATTACTAGATGACTAGATTTCAAAGGGGGATGGAAGTTGTAGAAAAATGTTCTCCTAAGTTATTCTTCTATTGCCATGATCAACAAGATAATGTGAATTCTTATTTGGTATTTGCACAGTTCTGAATATGTGAAAAAGGAATAAATACAGAGGAGTACATACCCTATGCTAGAAGAAGGAAATCAGACAATCTTAAAAAGAGTCTAATGAAACAAAATGAAGGAGCCAGTCACATTACACTCTTTGCACCATGTTAATGCTTATTTCCATCCTTGTTCATTTTCCTTACTGTAGTTTCCCTCCTAAAATAAAAGTCTCTCTTGAGAGCATATCTGCTGTAGATACCATGTCATCCCTCCTCTTCCTTAGCTATACCTTTCCAAAGTCAATGCACTGTAATCTGAACCCTTGGAAATACATTTCAAATTCATAGCTTCCATCTGTTCAGTGTTGGCTATGAATGAACTTTTCTGCCGACTTGATATGCTACCTTTCACTTTATGTTCAAACAACTTTGAGATACAAATACTATTATTTTATAAGGAGAGCAAGCTAAACTTTGAGATGTTAAATAACTCATTCAAAGGCCCAAAAAGTAAGATATTTAATGAAAAATATTAAATATATCATTAGATTTAATATTAAATGATAGATATCTAATATATCTCAGTTTTCTAAAGCCTGAACTCGTAAGTTTAGAGCCACAAATGCCCTTTACAATGCCAAATCCAGTGGAAAACATTAAACTCTTATTTTCAAACATATTACTAAATTACCATCTTTCCTCTGTACTGTTGGCGCTGTGACACAACAGTCAAATTTCCTCTCTGTAACCTTTGATTTTTGGTAAAATTAATCTCTGAAAATTTTTTTCTGCTAATCCCTTAGGTTTCAATATTTCTCCAAATTCTACCTTCAGACCCTTTCCTATATGCAGTAACAGCAAAGTGTCCAACATAACAATGCTTTTGTCAATGACAGTGTTTTAAGATTATAGAGGACTTGAAATAAACATATTGCCTACTAGACATCTTAAATTGTCTTAGAGTCATATACTGTAAAATGTCTTTGTAGCGATGGTGTACACATGTGGCTTTATATGGAACACAGTATTTGATGCTGATAAGAAACAACTGTTATTGATTTGTACCCTTGCTATGGCACCATTATTTTATCATTGCTTTTATTTTGTATACTCCCTCTACTATCATTTACATATTAGCATTAAATGCACTTACTTAAAATCAATCACTTAAAAAAAAGTTATAAGGTGCTAGTGGCTCACGCCTATAATCCTAGCTACTTAGGAGGCTGAGATCTGTGGATCGTCGTTCAAAGCCAGGCCAGGCAAGAAACTCTGTCTGTGAGACTGTTTTTTTTGGTCGGCATGGGGTTTGAACTCTGGGCCTGGGTGCTGTCCCTCAGCTCTTCAGCTCAAGACAAGTGCTCTACCGTTTGAGCCACAGCACCACTACCAGTTTTCTAGTAGTTTATTGGAGATAAGAGTCTCACAGACTTTTATGCCTGGGCTGGTTTTGAAAAATGATTCTCAGATCTAAGCCTTCTGAGTAGCTAGGATTACAGGCATAAGCCATGAGCACCTGGCTTCTGTGAGACTCTTATCTCCAATAAACCACTCAGAAAACTAGAAGTGGCACTGTGGCTCAAGTGGTAGAGCACTAGCCTTGAGCTGAAGAGCTAAGAGACAGTGCCTTGTCCCAGAGTTTAAGGCCCATCACCGACCAAAAAAAAAAAAAAGTTACATAGCAGCATCATCCTTACACATCTCAAATTCACTGAGTTTCCTGATCAAAATGTCAATAGGCCATGTTGAATGAATGACCTATACTCTTTAACTTTATACTAAGTACACACTAAAATATTAACACAATGTGAAAATCATCTACCAAAGTGGGAGGGGTAACCTACTTGCAGCACACATGCTTAGTATGCTCCAGACTGGACGTTGTACAATATACCCCATTATTACAAAATGACTAGTGGAACTGGAGAGAGAGAGGGAAAAAGAGGGAGAGAGGGAAAAAGAGGGAGAGAGGGAGGGAGGGAGGGAGGGAGGGAGGGAGAGCATGCGCTGGTATTGTGGCTTCAACACAGGACTTTATCCATTCATTTGGCTTTTTCTACTCACAGCTGGCATTCTACCATTTGAACCATGCTTCCAATCCATCTATTTTTGCTGGTTAATTGGAGGTAAGAGTTACTCAATTTTTTTCTATTTAGGATGCCTCTGAACATAAACCTTCATATTTCAGCCTCCTGAGTAGCTAGGATTATAGGTATGAGCGACCAGCATCCAGCTAGTAAATTATTTTTAGAATTTTATAAGCAATTGTCTATTAGACATAAGTGCATGTATCTCTTACTGGTAACAAAATCTTAAAATGCCTACAAGTCCAATTCCTCACTTTCTATAAACATAAGAAAGCAACAATCTGCTAATAAATTCAGAGAAGCACCTATGTCATAGAACAGACAAGTGTGTGACGTAAGTTTTCTAGACAGCTATCTTGATCTTCCTTGTTCTGGAAGTCACCTTTTCCTAAGGATAACCCTTATGATCATGATTATCCCATGCAATCTAAGGCATCTGTGCAGGAGATTTTTCAATGGCATGGTTGTTAATAAGTTTATTTGATACTCTTTCCCATGATATCTACCCCCATCCTTAATAAGTACTGTACACTAGTTTGTAGATGGGAATGATACTGATAAAGGGAGAGTTTTACTGCCTAAGAAAAAATTCCCTATGATTTGTGAATCAAACTCTATGATAGTGTCCTTTAACATATACTGCTTTAAAAGGTATTTTTGCTAGGTACTGGTGGATCACGCATGTAATCCTAGCTACTCAGTAAGTTGAGATCTGAGGATCATGGTTTGAAGCCAGCCTAGCCAGTAAAGTCCATAAGACTTGTATATCCAATTAACTCCCAGAAAACCAGAAGTGGCTCTGTGGCTCAAAGGTAGAGCATTAGCATTGAGCAAAAAAGCTCAAGGCAGCACCAAGGCCCTGAGTTCAAGCATGACAATCTATCTCCCCCCCCATCACGCCCCTGCAAAAAAAGAATTTTCTCTATGCTTGATATACTGAATGAATTATTCATAAATGACTATGAAGTAGTCAGCCATTCCTTTACAATAACGTAAGAGGAAGAGTCTCAAGAATGAGCTGGTAAAATAAAATAATATTATTATAATATTATCTATAGTCCCTAGAAAAACATATCATTTAATAAGTATTATAAAATCTTAAGATTCAGTCTATTTGGCAGTAGAAATAGGTTAGATAAAAATATTTCCCAAGAAGATCAAAAGTACAACTAGACATAAAAATGTATACAAGATCCTACACATTTACATACAAACATTTACCTCTTAAAACTAGGTATACTAAGGGAAGGAATTCAAAGGACTACCTTCTCTAAATATCTAAATATTATTTATCAAAACAAACTCCAGGAAATGGAAACCTGTTGTTTGGGGTTTTTTTTGGAGGGGTATATGGTACAGTGGAAGGGGTCACAAGAATAAAGGTGAGCAAATGTAGTCGTTATATTCAATATACACTATGTAAAAACATGAATGATGTAACTTGTGAATAGGGACGTGAGGAAGAAAATGAGGGAAAGTAAAGAAAGGGGACATTTCTTGGATACTGCCCAAGAAACATTGCACTCAAAACCTGACTTATCAAATTGTAACCCCTCTGTTCAACTCCTTAATAGTAACAATCTAGAAGAAAAATGTTGCCCAGGGGCCAGGCACTCATGGCGCATGCCTGTAACCTAGCTACTCAGGAGGCTGATACCTGAGGATTGCAGTTCAAAGACAGCCTGGGCAGGAAAGTCCAGGAGACTCATCTCCAAATAACCACTAAAAAACTAGAAAAGGAAATATGGTTCAAGTAGTAGAGTGCTACCCTAGAGCAAAAAAGTTCAGAGCCAGTACCCAGGCCCCAAGTTCAAGCCCTAAGACACAGACACAGACACTCTCTCTCTCTCTCTCTCCAAGATCTGGGTAGTGCTAGTAGCTCATG